TTTATCAATAAAACTTTGAAAAGAAAAAAAAATAACCCTGTGTGCCAGTCACATACTGATAACGAAACAAAATGAACAGCAATTTCTGTATTCTTCCAAAAAAAAAAAAAAAAAAAAAAAAGACTTTACCACTGCTACTCAGGTCAAAGAGGATACAGTGAATTTCAATCTTATTCTGACAACTTCTGTAGAAGTGATGCACACCCCTCACTCACATCACTGGCCAACCCACTGGTCAGTATGAAGCAGCATGACCCATCATGCCCAAAGCAGGAAGCCAGCAATATACATCAAACTATGCAAATGCCCATCACTACCCCTTACTGGCTCTGTCGACTGGGCCAAGCACTTACCTTTCCAGCCTCAGTGTCCACACTGCACAATGGGCACAGTGCTGCCTATCTCATCAATGACGGTGGGACTACAGGAGACATAAGGCATGACATTCAGCACTATGCCATGCAGAAGAGTTCAATCAATGACAGCTTTTAATGGCAGGCCTCACTCACAACATAGGGACACATGGACTTGGGAGACAACAGGCTGAAATTTGAACTCAATATCCTGAAGAGAGGCAGTAGACAGTGACAATGGCTCCTCTAACCTCTTTTGTACCCACTTGTAGCACTGGAAAAATGAGGATGATCTAAGAATGAAGTGAGGTGGATGGTGTCTCTTCCGTGGCCACTGCTGGAGCTACAGTGGCCAAAATACAATTCAATCCATTTGTGATTTAGACCACATCAAAACTGTAGAAGGCACTGTTCAGTGTACCTTCCTGCATCCACAGAAAGAGTGTGTATCTTTCTCTCTTCCCAAACAGCTAAGACAGAAGCATAACAAATAATACCTATTGGAAAGGATGATGAAAATGCTGTAAAACTGAGCAGATTGGCAAAGCTGCCCAAGTGTGCAGACACCACATGTCACCTGCACTGTGCAGCTGCAGTGGGAAAAGGAAAACGGCACAGCTGTCAAGTGGTCGCAGGCCTGGCAACACGTTCATCACCAGGCTAAAGCCTGGACAAAGCCTGAGCAAAAGCTTCTGCAGTTGAAAGCCAGAGAATGGGCAACTATAAGGTGAAACTATTGAGAATATGTAGATATAAAGCAATCTTCTGCGCAACTTTTATTAAAACAGCTAAACTTCTAAAAAAGAATGAAGTGAAAAAACTTCCACACACAAATGTGGTGATGTGCAGATTCTAGTCATCTTCTCTTTCCTTCTCAGAAGAGAAACTGTGTGGCTTTGCCCATTTTCCTGAAGTCCCATTGGACTCAGTGAAAAAAACAGAGGGCCCATCCTACTTGCAGGACACACACAGCTGCACACAGGACAGACAGCTCTGGTTCTCCTCAAGAGGAAACAGCGCCAGCAGCTGCAGCCCGCCCCTTCCAGGAAATTCTCTGCACTCATGCTGCTTGGCTACAGCCCACGGCTCGCTCCCTCCCTGCACACTCACCACCGGAGCCTCTGCGCGGGCATCTGTCCTTGCTAGGTTCTCATTTGCATCCACAACTGTTTAGCCTGAGCCTCTGCAGTGCCGTGCTAAGTAAGATGCATGGAACTTCCTGTTCCCCTGGGAACTCATCGCTAGAGTTGTTCGGGGGACCCTTTTGGTTTTCCCTTTGCTCTGGGGTTGTGCCTTTGCTTCCTGGACCTTAGAAGACTCATCTGCTGCTCTATGTACACAACCATGGAATGATGATTAGGTTGCAATGGCTGGGTATAGACTTCTCTGCTGAGACACAGGGCCTGCGAGGCAGGAACACGCCTCCATCACCCTTGTAATGCAGTGTCTACCACAGGCAGTGGACACACTGCTCTTCAGCATCTGCCCTTTAACTCAGGCCAGCTCTGCCCTGCAGTCATTTTGATACACTCAGAGACACCAAGGGGGAGAGGGCAGGTGTGTGTTCTCTAGGGGAACAGGAAGTTCCATGCATCTTACTTAGCACAGCACTGCAGAGGCTCAGGCTGAATAGTTGTGGAAGCAAATGAGAACCTGGGCCCTTATGCTAGGACACCTTATACACACTCTAGTTGCATCTGCTTCCGAGGCTGGCAGGGACATACAAGGAGTGACATTCACTTGGGGCTACAGATGCCCAGTGAGTAATTTCGGCTCGGATACCTGCTCAACCCTGCACATAAGCCAAGTTACTCATTCCAGGAATGTCTGTCGAAAACAGAAAAATAACCTAAGATTCCCCTTCAAGATTGAGGACATTAAGGTAAGCAATTTACAGGGACATTTGCCTACCAATAAGGCTCCTATGTTGTCCTAAATACAGTCACCTTGGATTCTAGCTAAACCTTTCGCAAAACTGAAACTGTCGCAAGCAGAAGCAATCATTTCATAGAGACCAGATCACAGCCCCAAGCAATGATGACTTCTCCAGAGCCATCTTGTGAATGCTGAACTAGGTCAGCATTCACAAGATGCTAGGTCAGCTCAGCCTGCTATAAAACTGACCCTAGGTCAGCTCAGACCCTAGGTCAGCTCAGCCTGCTATAAAACTGATCTTTCCTTTGTTAACGGACCAGTCTAATCTTCTCCATCACAGCTGGGTCCCCTTCAGCCTCCTGAGCTGAAGTCCTTCCCATTTTCTCTTCCTTTCTAATCCCACCTAATAAATCAGCCTATGGGTGTCATTGATGTGTTCTTAAGTGCTTTTCTGAAACAAGATGTCAAAGGCCCTCCCAGGATGCATTCAGGTCCCCTCTACTGAGGGGATCTCTGGACCCTGTCTGACGACAACTTTAGTAGGTCAGCACAGACCCTGCAGAAGAGCCGGCTTTTATCCCTTTCACCCTCAGGAGCTGCTGCTGCTGCCTCCAGCAAGTCCAGTCACGTCACTGGGGTTCTCTGCACAGAGGCAATGACTGCCTCCTCTGTGTGGGATGGGAAGAGGTCCCATCTCTAAGAGGGTGAAACTGATGCAGGGAAAGCCCATCTTAGAAGTGCTAAAGAAAGGGGCCTTTCTTTCACATCTTGCCCCCTTAACCAGGCCATCAGATATGGGCAGTAAGAACTTCTCCCCCTCATGCACCCTGGCATTCAGCACACAGTATGAGCTTAGGGAAGGCTACTTTCTGCCCCTCAGTGGCAGAGGATTCAGCGTCAACAGCTCAACAGTTAGAACAGGATAAAGATGTTCATGTGCTCAATAATCAGGCCAGGCCAAACCAGCCCAAAGTCATTATCAATATCCTTCAGCAGAATCACTTGGTAAAGCTTGCGAGTTGTATGTGAGTGCTGGATGGGAGGTGACTTGGAATCCTACCCACCCTTCAAGGCTCAGGCCCCAGGGGTCCCCTCATCAATGCCTTTCCCAGCCCTGTGAGGCCATGACACCACTATGTGGTTGGCTAATACAAAGAGAAGGATGAGGACAAAAGGTAACAATAATGCCAACTCTGTGTTAGGATGACTCCAAAGGATGCTGCTGTGGTTTTGTCTATAAAAGAAAGAGCTAAGACTGTACAATATGCAGAACCCAATTAGGGAAAATGTTTTGGCTCACAATGTGTCATGAATCAAAAGATGATTCTGTAGTGGTCAACATGACCCAGCGGGGAGAATAGTCTGCTTTATTTATTAGGCCAGTTTCCCTAAGTAAGTTCTGTTAAATTATTCATATAGGCTGTGTCTTCTAATCTATGCTGTATGCAAAATAACCTTAGATGTTATTACTAATGACCCACTTTACACACTCAACAAAGCTTCCAAGCTTCTACTCTTATGTCATGAGAGAGCCATACCAGATGAGTTGCTTATTTAGGGTTGGATTATCTACTGAAGGGCCTGTAATTCCTCCTTAGATTGTGAGTACCTAGAGGACAGGAATCATGAATTATATACTCAGTCATATAACAAGTGACTTAAAGTCATAAAGGCCTGCATCCTAGTCTCTCATTTGCCTGCTAAGTGGACTTGGGCAAGCGAGGTAGCTTCCCTGGGCCTCTTGTTCCTCATCTGACAGGGTGTGAGGTTTAAACGAGACCACACTCACAAAGCATTTTCCACACATTGTGAAAGCCCAGTGAATGGAAGCTTCCAGATCTAGTTGGTGTTCAGTGTTGGGGCATGTTTGTTAAGTGGGAGAACCCTTCTCTGAATTCCAATTCCCAGTCCAAACTCTTGAGTCCCCAGCCTGCCCCTATAGAAGCCTTCAGTGGTCTGGGCAGTCAGATTAAAAACAAAAGCAAACAGCTGCAGCGAGTTGGGATAAGAAGCACCTTGGGTTCTTTTTCTTGCCAGCTCCTGTCAAGATGTTATAGTGCTCTGGTCTGATTTCCATTATATTTCTGAACAAATGAATTCCTTCTGAAACTTTGTACCCAACTCTCCTATGAATCATATGAAGATGGAAAAGGACATTTTTCAGACTCTTGTTGGGTGAGGGGGTAAGAGGACAGACAAACACACAGACAGACAGACACACAGACAGTCAGACACACAGACAGACAGACACAGAGACAGACAGGAGGCTCAGAGCTGGCCTCTGGTGTCAGGCTGGAAGTGCTAAGAAAGCATCCACCTTCCCTGCCTCTGTACTGCAAGTCCAGGAGACTAGTATATATGGGGCTACTTTATTACACCATTACACCACTCTGATATTTTTCCTAAAATAATTCAAGATGCTGAAAGAAAAGAAAAAGTCAATAGTGGAAGTTCAATCAAGTCACAGGCTGCTGAAGGTAGGTGCCATCAGGAATATTCTATTCAGCCTAGAGAGAATTAACTGCAAAAAAGAAAACTCTGCCATGAAGTTGAGGAATGTGCAGGGTCACAAGCGAGGTCAAGGACAGATGCCACCTGGAAGTCCAGGCTACACCTTCCAGGTCCAGTGCTGGAGGCCAAACCACAAAGGCCTGGCTTGCCAGCTCACTAGTCCTCTTCAGTTGATTAGGCAGTCTCTAGTTAGCCAGCTGAGTTGGGAGAAACCAGCCAGACAAATGGTCTGGAGTTTCTATTACCCACTCACTCAAAGTCCTGCCAGGGGATAACATCCTAGAAGGGACAAGGAGAACTTGGGGACATCAGAGTTGGCTTGCAACTTGATGCTACTCCACAATAACTGTGTAGCTTGGGCCAAGCACCTCCAACATTTTACAGCACACATCTCCCATATTAAAATGGAGGTGACTGTGTCTGCTCCCAGGAGTGGTCTGGTCTGAAATGAGGTAGCCCAGGGGTCCTAGCAAGTGTCGGACATCTACAAAGCACTGAAGAGTCCCAGATCTTTCTCACAGCCTGCTTTGGGCAGAGTAACGTGGAAGGAAGGTGTAAAAGGACAGGGAGATCATAGACATGGATCTCTAAGACTTCTTTTGGATCAGACAACCCTTGGCTTCTACTTCTAGGGAGGTGCCAGGAAGGGCCAGGGCCACTTCAGATTTACTCTGAAAGTGAGCAAGGAGCACTGGTGAGTCAGCTTGGGGAGCCTGACTCTCTGCTCAGCTTTCTGTTTGATTCCTCCTCTAAGGAGGACAGAGTTTTCAACCTTCTGGGGCCTAGCACAAATCTGTGAGTCTACATTTGGGGAACTGGGGGATGTCTAGTGCCCCTACTTTTTCTACACTCACACGTGGCTCCCTGGGTCCCCTACCACCAGCACCCAGAAGGTAAGAGGTGAAGGCACCACAATGCACCTCGTTCACCTGTTTCACTCCTGGAAAAACAGAGAAGTGTCACGACTTCCTGGAAGACAAACTCGTGGTGGAAGCAGACATGCTCTGGTTCCTCACGGGAGTCAAGTCTTGTCCCCACGCACTCATTCCTGTCCCAGTTTCTAACTGAGCTCCTGGACCAATCCTGCCTTGCTGCTGAAGCTCCAACAGCATAAGCACTGTCAGACACAAACATTGTCACTCTTTTCTTCTCTAAGCCTGCTACATGCCACACTGTCCTGATTAATTCCCCAGATTAAGGTGAGATGGCAGAGTGGACACCTGCCCACTCGGCTTGCTTAGCACCGAGATCTTACGCATGTAACTCCCCTTCGCCGTGCCTCCAGGCTTGTTGGCACTGGCACTCTACATCTAACTGTCCTTCTGGGAGTGCACAGATTCAGCTCTAGAAGCACCAACCTCTGTCCCTGGAATTAAAGCCTGAATATAAGTGGCCCTTGTGCAGTAGATCAGTGACAACTGTGGTCCACTGATGGATTTGGCCACTTGTGCTTGTTAAATGCATCTGTGGAGCCTGCTTTCTTTCTATCTTTCCTGAAATCTAGGTGGTCATCTTTCCTTTGAGGCAATGAGCAGACTCTCAAGCAATTTCTGTTCTGCTTGCAGTAAAGAGAACAAGTATGTGTTGCTTGCATCCAGTGACTTCCATTCCATCTATTCACCATCCTGAGGAAATCATTCTTATGCGTGGTTGGGACACAGTCTAATGAAGATGCCAACAGAGCTGCCAGGAATAGGCTACTTACCAGGCTTCTGGTACCATCCAAAAGGATAGGTGCGGACTTCTGTGTCAGGAGAGCCACAGTCCAAGATGCGCCAGGCTCCTCCTCCTTCCTCACTGCACATCTGCACTCCCAGGCTGCTCAGAGTCAGACACGTCACCTCTCCTCCTAGGGAGCACATAGCCAAGACCAGGATGTTGAGCACAACAGGAGAGTCTAACTTAATGAGAAAAGTCCTACACATCAAGGTTCAGAAGACATCTGATGTTTGCTACTGACTTCTGGGAGAATCTTGGCCTCTAATGCAGACCTGGCACCTCTGCATAAGTGCCTTTGGCCCAGGGGCTCAGGGATAGAGGCACCTGGTTCTGACTGAGCACCTGCCTATTGTGCCAGGCTCTGCTTGCATCACTGTACTTGGTACTCACAGGACCCATAGAGAAAGGTAACATGTATTCCTGCATATGGGAAGACAGCTAAGCCTCAGAGAGAAAACAAGTGACTCTTCTAGAATCACATCACCAGCAAGTTAATGTACAACGTTTTTTGTTTTTGTTTTATTGTTTGTGTTTTGTTTCATTTGTTTGGTGTTGGGGCTGAAACTTGGGGCTTTATATCAAGGAAGCACTCTACAACTGAGTTATACCCCAACCCTAGACCCTAAACCAAGTTTTAAATCCAGATCATAGAGAGGTATCCAAAGTCCACCCCACCTGACCAGAGTGTTAAAAGGTGAGCTAAAGATCACTCAGCCAAATGGCAAGGAACAAAGCTAAGTGGGTCAAGCCAGAGATGCATGCGTAAGGTCAGTAAGTCCCCAGGTCAGGCGTCTCATCTAGCTGCTGCACTGAGGAGCGCTTGTCCCCAGATGCCCCAGCTTATGCATGAGGATCTCTCCTGTCCACTCTCACTTGGAGACTCTGAGGACACAATGAGGTCCTAAGTGCCAATGTGTTTTCTAGCCTGTAGATGCCGTGCAGAGGGGAGAAGGACTTGTTACCGTTCATACCTTTTAACTGGGACACATTTAGAAATCCAAAACCGGTGCAGCACTGGTCCAAATCACATAGCCGTTCACATTCGAAGAACCTGGCATCAGAAGAGAAAGGGCAGATCTGAGCGCCTCTGTGGGGCCCAGCACCTGCTCAGTGGGATGAACTGTCATTGATCTTACTTTGGAGGTCAGCTTTCCTTGTAACTATCTAAAGTATGGGTGCTCTGGTCAATGTGTATGAGTAGATTCCTAGCCTCTTTATGAAAGCAGAGTTCTCTTTTCTGGAGAATGTTGTCTTGACAACCTTCCTTCTTTCTTCCCTTCCTTTCTTCCTTCCTTCCTTCCTTCCTTCCTTCCTTCCTTCCTTCCTTCCCTCACTCATTCACTCACTAAGCATATTTTCTGTGTCCAATACACCCCAGTCTCCAAGTCAAGCTAACCCAGGATTCTCAATTGCTTCTATAATCATTTCAGATAAGAAGGGAGCCTTAGTCTTGGAAGGCACAGCAGCAAAGGCAGCCCCACAATCAGGGTAATCCACCAGGGCTATTTAAGCAGAAAAGAGGTAAACTTGTGTCTCCTTGGCTTCCCTTCTTACTCTGACACCAGCTGCTCATATGCCAGGAAGATGTGTCTACCATGTGGCTCATCCCACTAGGCTTTCTCTGAAGTATCTACTTTGCTTATCTACCTCATGTGGCTCCCAAACCCACTTCTCCTTTCATGGAACCAGTAACAGGAGGAAAAACTTAGTGGCTTCTAACCAGTGCTTTGGAGCTCAGTGCGGTACTCCTCCTGTCCTGACCATGTGTCCCAACCCGCTTCCTGGGAATTTACTCAGCCTCTTTGCCCTTTTCTGGTGTGTGGCCCCTGCCACATTCTTACTGTCATTTTTTCTGTGACCCCTGTCACAACCCAATGTTGGAAGGTTTTATCTGCCAGGTCTTCTGGTTACATCTCTTCTCTGACACCAAGAAGCCACTTCCCCATTCCCTTTCCAAGTCCCTGCCCACCTGTCACCTGTGACTTCCTTTTTCTATTCTGGAATTACATCACTAGCCTCAGCCTGGGCCACTGGTTTTCCCCGTAACCATGCCCTGAGCTGGGATACCCTCCCTCCCAGCCTACCATTTCCTATTCCAGTACTGAGGTCAGGCTGGTCTTTTGTTCCACAATTCTGTCAGCAAGGGTGATGTCCAGTTGGACATCAGGACAGACTAGCAAGAATCATCTTTTTGCCTCCATCTTCAAAAGAAGATTCAAAATGCCAATGACATGGACTCATAACTCAGTGGTTCACAGATCAATAAATAAAATGATTTAAGATATGCTATGTACATGTACCAAATGCCCACAATGAATGTAAACATTATGTGTCAGAAATATGAACTCACAACAATAAGAATGAAAATGGGGAAAGAAGTTGGAGGAATAAGGAGTTAAAAGGGGAAGGAGATTAAGAAAGAATCAAGCTGTGATATATACATTCCCACTCCCTAAGATGAATATAAAGTTTATATACTGTAAACACAAACTAATCATAAAAGTCAAAAGAGTCCCTGGGGATCTTTCTAAAAATTCCAGTTCTTGAGCCCCATCCCAAGAAGGCTGAGTCATCAGTGGTCCAGGATAAGCCCCAGGAAAGTAGTTGATAACAAATACCCCCTGCTCCCTGTGATTCTGATGTGTGAGCTCTATGGATGATATTGAGAAAAACCCCACTTTCAAATAGAACTAAACTATTAAGCAATAGGCAATAAAATAACTTTTTGATACAATAATGGGACAGGAAGTCCTCACAAGCCTATGGCTCTGTTCAAAGTTCTACTTGCTCTCCAGAATCTGAGCACAGTACTCTGAGGTTCCAAGGACCAGGTTCGTTGCTTTGCTTGATAACTTTATCAATTGGTAAGACACAGCTCAATGTGTCTATTTTGCATCATCTGACCAAAAGTTAAGAGCTAAACTTGGTGTTCAGCACCAGTAACTGGCCTTAGCCCAGATTTTAGGTGTGACTACCTCTTTAGACATTTTATCCACCTAGCTTTGGGCTGTGCAGTTATTATTAGGCTTTTGCCTTTCACGGCAATGGCTTCATCCTAGAGTTTTAATCGTAAGTACTGATGGTAATACAGAGGTTGCTTACCCACTGGAAATGGATTTTTCAGACATGGGCACTTTGTTTCTAATGGAAACCCCTGCCAGCTTCTGGAATGGCAGACGAGTGTAAAAGTTCTTCACTCTGTTGTTCAGTCTCACTGCATGGAAGAAGAGAGGAATGTTATCACCTGGAGAGAATGTTACTGAGAACCAATGAATTAAAACCAAGCCCAAAGCTTCCACTAAAGGGGTGCAATAAATAAATTAATTCATTAATTAAATAAGGCACAGTAAATTCACAGTGATTCTCACTCTCACTCCAAATTTCACTACAATAACAGCTGGAATTCTTATGAAGGCACAAGCACATAATGATGGAGGGAATAGGAGAGGGGATTCATTTACACACTTTGCAGAGCTAGAAAACATGCAGAGGAATAAAACTTGGTTCCATAGACTTCAAGGCAGACTCCACTGTCTGTGGGGAGAACCAAGAAGCAAGTCCATGTGCCTCTGGCTCTCAGAAGGCTTGAGCATCTGCAGCTCTGAAGGGAGAAAGAAGCCTAAGCAGTAGATGGGCCGAGAATCTCCCCTAGGAATGAGACCTCTGGGGGCTTTCTGTATTTCCCCAAATGATGAGTGCTGCCTCCTGCCATGGAAGAATACAGAAGGCTTAGTCCAAGAGAGGCCAAACGAGAGGGTCTCTGGGTGCCCTGGACAGTAGATGGGATGTGCACTACAGTGAAAGAGGGGTCCTTTCAAGTCAGCCCCCATGGTAACCACTGAACTGCCTACCTTCTCCCACCTGATTTGGTGTCCAAATCACCAGCAGTTAAGCATATGCTCTCAGCAGGTATTGCAAGATTCCTCCAGATAACAATCTAAAAATACTGACATGAGGAACTTCCCAAAGCATAGCCCAATTGGGTTGTTCTAAAGCCAGTAAGCTTTCACCAGTCAAAGCTTCTCTTTGGCCTTGTGCACTTGGCTTACATTTGAGTGGGAACCTAGGGTGCCAGATGCCTGGTAAGAGCATCCAGCGAGAAAGACGGAAGGGAGGCTCAGGGCAGCCACATCTGGGGGAAAGACAGACTGTATACAAACTCTAGTGTCGTTAGTGCTCCTGATGGGAAGTGCTGACTTAGACGGTGCTAAGTCACAGAGGCTAAGACTGCACAACCTCACGGTGTTCTAGGAACTGTGCATCGGCCACAGTTCTCTCTGTAAATGAGGCTCAAGAGTTGGAGTGGTCTCCAGAGGTGATTTCTGAGCACATTTAAAAGAAGCAAACATAAACCTGGCTGTTTCAGACACCACAGACCCAGCCTCCCACTGGAAGCCCAGCATGTACAGGCACCCGCAGGCTCACCCCTCTTCTGGAACAGGGTGCCCGGCTGCTGTGGCAGGACCAGGCTGCAGCCCTGGGCGCTGGACTCCAGGACATCATCACACACTTGGGCCTCTGGGTAGAGGGAGCAGATGAAGTACAAGGAGTCGCTGTCCGTTACCTCTGCAAGCTGACAGAAAGAGGGCTCCTGGGAGCAGCCTGCAGTGAGAGCACAATTGGTTTTCAGATCTCAGGAGGCTCATGGGTCCTTAATGGAATCCCCTGAGGGAAGTGCCTGGCAGAAGCTCCTCAAGAGGCAGATGCCCACTAACTGTCTAGCCTTGGGTTCGACAGCCCTGGAAGGGGCTGTGTGACTCTTAATAAAGACAGAGGAGAAGCAGAAGTAGAGGGAGAGCTTAAGCTCAGCAATGCAACAGTGAAAGGATGGAATGCTGCTGGATCTACTAATGACCATATCAGAGGCAAGATCTGCAAACCAGAGACCTTGTTCACTTTGTGAGTGATTTCGTTGTCCCTTCTCCACATCAGTCATTGACAGAAGTGCATGCGAGTACCTTGAGGGCAAAAGCATGGCTGATTCTTTTTGTCTTTTATCCCTAAGATCAAATACAAGGCCTAGAATAATATGCATATCCAATAACTCATCAGATGGTTGGATAGAGGTACAGATGGATGCACAGATGGATGGATGGCTGGCTGGCTGGCTGGCTGGCTGGCTGGCTGGCTGGATAGATTCATGGATTCATGGATGTATGGATTAATGAATGGATGATGGTTGGATGGATGAATGCATGGATGCATGGGTGGATGGATGGATGGATGGGCAGATGGACTGATAATAGGTTGATAGGTTCCTGGAGTACCAGACTGACTACACTGTGAGCTTGCAAAAGACAGGTATTGGGTTCTATCTATCATCTAAGAATGCAGTGATCCATGAACTACAGCGCTGAGACTGATCTTGTCTGGGTCACTAGAGCTGAGCTAAGCTGTGGTACCCCACCCCTAATCCAAGGATACTTACGAGAAAGGCACCACAGCTTTGCCTGCTGGGCTGAAAACAGGTGTTTGAAAAGCCAGTGCCGCTGCCTGGGCAGTGATCTGTTTGCATTGACAATAACCTGACTGAAGTCCATGGGGGAAAAAAGGTCTGCTGTTGAACCTAAAAAAGAGAAGTCAACTCCTTTACTTTTATTTCAATTTGAATACAAAACAAGATACCTGCTGTCCCTTCAAGCCATCTGCCCTTGGAGCCTTGGCGTAAGTGACCCTCTTCCCGGAGCACCTCCTGCAGGTGCCCCCAACATGGTTCAGTAGAACTACCCAGATGTCTCTAAGGGGACTGTCCTGACTACTCTGGGCTGTCCAGCTCCCTTCCTCCCCTGCATGCCTACTGCACTTCACATTTGTCTTCCACACCCTGCTGCAGCATCACGTGGCGGATGGTAGTGGGCATCCGACTGCTCTGTGGACGTCCAAGTGCACAGCACATGTACTTAAGAAGCAGCTGTTAGCCAAGGGTGAATACTCCGCACCTCACTGTACCTGGCACCGATGCCATGTGTGAAGCCATTTCCATGTGCTCTCTTTAACTCTGTGCTCCCCCTAAATGGAAAGAGATGAGGACTGGGCCGGCAGGACGGGGCTTCTCTTATTGCTTCCCTAGGCTTGTCTGCAACACTCAGCCTGACCACAGGGATCGGATACAGAAAGGGCCAAATCTCCCTGTGCTTTGGATCCAAGGCCTTTCCCATGCACCCTGAGAAATGCAGTCTGAGTGGAAGCACTTGGAGCAGCTGAGCTGAGCTTAAGAGCATTTCTTCTGCAGACATCTTATCTTCAGCACTCCAGGAATGTGATCAGCTGAGAACCGGAAAGCTGAGCAGAGCTTTTGCTGTTCATGCTGTCTCCTTGCAGGGCATTGGTCAGGGGCCAAGCTCCGGGCCTAGTGGGGGGGAGGGCCGGGGGAGCCCCTGGGAGCACCCTGTGGTAGTGCTGGTGATGCAGGCCCAACACAGTGCTTCACGGTACATTTCTAAAGTGCTTTCAAGTTCTGCCACCTCATGCACATTCACCCTGCTATGAACTGTCAAGTTATCCCCAAGAACCTTTGCCCAGGCTGGGGACCACAGCACAGAGGTTTGGCTGGGAAATGGCTTGCTGGGTGCTTTTGGGGACCAGGGAGCAGGAGACAAGCAACACAGGATGGAAAGGGTGGCTCAGCATCGCGTAGCTCGGGCATGGTCCCAAAAAAATCTGAAGTCAGCATTGTGAGGCTTTTTCCTGTGTTTCTCTAGAGAAGCCAGAAACATGATTTTTTTTTTCACATGATACTTTCCAATTTTAAAGTATTGGTTCAATTGTATTAAAAAAAAAAAGCTTCAAGTCTATTCTATGAATTAAACAAAAATACTAACTGTGTCAGCCAGCCCTGGGGCCTGAGTTCTCACACCCACTAGGCTGTACGAGGTGTTGACTAGGGCTTGAGAAAAACCCAGATTCTGAGGTCAGTTGGTTGGATCGTGGCATTGTTGCATACTTGGTGCTGGGCTGGCTTAAACTTTGGATACCAAGGCACCTCAGCTCCTTCCATTAGTAAGATCGGAACCCTGACCAGCAGAGTGGTGTGGTCACATCATTCGTGAGATGACATACACAAAGCGCCAGCACAGGACCTGGTGGCCAGGAAGTGGGAGGAAAGAGGCCTTGCTCTCCTCCACAGCCCTCCCTGAAGTGCTGTCAGCTTGCTGTCCTTCACAGAAGACCAATGGTGGTAAACTTGAATGCACTAGCAGTGTGCCCAGGGGGCTAGTGTGTCATGGACAACCCTGGGCAAAAGCCAGAAGGGCGAGGAGACAGATCATTTTGTAGAAGACAACTGGGCACAGAGAGGAAGGGTCCTCCCAGTAAGTTGCTGTCCTAAGGCAAAACTGATGTTTCAAGCAAAAATGTTTGAAGGAGACAGAAGGAGAATGACAGCATGGGGATTGGGACAAGAAGAGGAGCTGTGTCCCTGCTGTCCACCCCACATACTGGGATCAAGTATCTGATAGGAAGCAAGGTAGGGTGGGGAGACAAGGGTCAGTGAGCAGATGCATGGCCAGGCTCTGCAGCAGGATCACAGCCACCAGTAGCTCCCACAGCACACAGCAGCTGCTGACACACGAGTTCACGCTCCATATCCCAACAGTTTAAAGAATGGTCCCTGCTATTCCCCAATTCGCCTACCACATGGCTACTGTTATGACTCCTACAGATGAAGACACTGACCTTCGGAGGTGACTCATTTACAAAAGCAGAGACAAAGCTGGGCTTCGAGCCTCGTCTCTTGACCTGAGAGTCCACACTTTAAACAGAAGACCCTCCTCATGGCATAGCAGCTCTGTGGAGGCAGAATGGACTGAGCCATGCTAGTAGAGTACTACAGGACCAGCCTTTTGACAGCTGTTTAGATATATTATCTCATGTGACCTGGGAAGACACTCTGGGAAGGGAAGAATCTACCATTTGAGGGCATCTGTTAGGCTCCAGGCAATGCACAGGAGTTTTACCATCTCCGGGGATAAGAGATGCAAGGCAGTTTCATCCGACAACTAAGGAATCCAAGGGTCTTAGCATGTAAGCAGATTGCGCATGGCCATGCAGTCCGCAAGTGGTAAAGGTAAGAGTAGTCTCTCCTCTCCTCCCCTCCCTCCTTCCCTCCCCCCTTACAATGTGTGCATGTGGTGTCTGTGTGTGTGCCTTTATCTGTCTATCTATCTGTCTGTCTTCCTGTCTGTCTGTCTGTCTGTCTGTCTGTGTCTCTGTCTCTGTCTCCCTAGTGCTGAAGATCGAACCCAGGGCCTTATACATTCTATTTAAGAACTCTACCATTCAGCTCTGCCTCCAGACCAGGAGCAGGCTACCAAGGCAAGTTCAGCTCCTTCTCGCTCCCTCACGTCTATCTGATGCCTTCCACCAGGGACTGACAGCGACAGGCCCTGGGTCTATGCACTATCCATGAGCCAGTCTGTCCAGCAGTGTCCTTCCTGTTATAGCAGCACAAAGTGAGCTGCTCCTCTCCCTGCCCACCCTTCTTTCTTCCCACTCTTCTCTCCTGCTCTCTCCCTTCTCTTTTTGCTCTTTCTCTCTTCCCCCTCCATGCTGTATTTTACCTCCACTTCAACAATAAAGGACTGCAGGTTCTAGAGGTGAGATCTCGGATAATTCCATAGGTGTCATCCCTATTGGTTTTAACTCATTGCTTCCACTGCATGTGGTGACATGTTCAAATTCTTTCTTGTTCATTAAACAGTTTTGAATATTCATATTTATTTCTATTCTTCGAGACTGACATAAGAAATGCTCATTGACCATAGTCACGTGAACCTTGCTCTTTGATACATGTCTTTCGTTCTGGTTTTATTACTATCATTGCTTTTGTTTCCGACAACAGTGGTGAATGTCTAACAATTTTGCCTTCATCTCTGGGCCAATCAGCCCTGGGAGGAGCTACCATATTATGAAATAGGATTGAAGCTTAGAAGGGCATTTGAGTCTGTAGAAGAGAGTGATCAGGAAATGCTAAGGGATCCGTGAGCTGAAAAAACCCTTGTCTCCACAGTCAAACATTTAAGCATGCAAATGTTTGGGGGCCGATACCTGTCTCTGTTGAAGATTCAGACCTCGGTACTGCCGCTCTCTTGCATCCCATAGACTCAGGCCGAGACGCCATGTCCGAATCTAGGAGGAGCAGAGGAAGGATACGTGTACTACTGAGAAGGAGTGGCATTCTTTAGAAAAAGTGGTAGAAGCAAAGCAGGAGATGCTCATGGCGCACACCCGGGAGCTCAGGAAGGGCTGGAGCAGACCCAGCGGCACAGGTCTGCGGGCCGTGGCTTTGAGCTGAGCTTCAGCCAACCTCTCGGCAGCAGAACTCTCACTGTCCTTGGTAGTCTGAACATTTGCCTTGTAAACTAAAAAACAGTTCATAAATACTGGTGCTTCTAGCACCATGTGAAGGTGAAGAATCAGATGTCCATGTGATTCTTGAGAGAACTGAGAACCAGAAAAGTTAGATAATATATTCGACACTACTCATCTATGTGGTCAGAAGACAAAGTAGAATTTGAATACATTTAACAAAATTCCACAGCCCCACTGGAGAGTTTGTCCCTGCGGACCTGTCCTGTGACCTGAGCCTCAGGCACACAGGCCAGTTCTCTGGGCAGATTCCTGCTGTGCTTGGCAACAGCCCTGGTGCCCCCTCCTGGTAACTAGGGCAGCTGTACTCAGTGGGCTCAATCTCCCGGGCACCCAGCTCTTCCTCCTCCCTGGCTTCTTTGGTTTCTGCACTGTGCATTTTCCCTTTAGACTGTGGCATCTTATCTGATGAGGAGTGGGGCCCTCCTGCTCTACAGAGAGTGCTCTCTTAGAAAGCAGATCTCCACCTTTTCTCTAAGGGGAGCAGAATGCCCAGCAAATGACAGGCAGGGCCAGTCTCTAACTGTACCGCTTGTACGACAGAGGAAGCTTACCTTTCCAGAGATAAACCTGCTGGAAACCGATCCCAGTGCCTGCAGCTCCTTCCAGGGGTGCCAGACCTAGAGGCAATTGTGATGTAGTGAGCTGGTGAGTCCACATTACCTCGCTGCGCAATTGCTCCCTCAAATCACCCCGGAAAGGCAGGCTTTGCTTCTGCACAGTGTGCTTCAAAACCCTTGTGGAACCCCATTCTAGTGCCATGGTACAAAACCAGAGCTGGGCAGACCTCAGGGGCCAAGTGGAGGCCACCAAAGGGAGAACCTGGGCGAGGGGTTGTGAATCATGAAACAAGAGAATGACTTAAGGGCCTAGGGATTGGCTTTAAAAAAGAACTACATTCCCAGGAAACCTCAAATCTAGTTTTCAATGTTACTTAGCTCCTCTGAGATGCTTGCCTCATTGATAAGTGAGGAATGCAATTGTGAGGATATATATATATATATATATATATATATATATATATATACAGGCTTCTCAGGTCCTCCCCCACTTATTGGCAGATTGTTATTACTTATCATTAATATTTTTAAATTCATTTTTTCCAGAAAACTCTATTCCATTTGATGGCATCCTGGGTAAGACTAGATTTTCCACTCTATAAGGCAAGTGCTCCTCTTTTGCTCATGTGTGTCCCTCTGCGTCCTTATGATTCCTTCTTCCATCGAGAGGACCATGAAAATGGCTTAGAAAACCTAAGTCTAGAGGACAATAATCCCACATCCTGTAGGAGACACCTGGGTCACCACTTGAGACCTCAAGAAACAATCAAATTTTGTTTTTGAACAGTTATTGCCACTTACCTAGCATGTAATGGGCGCCTTTTATATTCTACCTAACTTATACTCCACAGCCATGCTATAAGCAAGGTCCCCACACTGAAGGTGAAGAAATGATGTTCAAATGTCCCAGTTCAAATCCTATCTGTTTAGTTCCACAGCAACGGTCTTAACCAACACACCAAGAAAGCATGTGTTCTGTAGTTCTGCCCATCCAAAGTGGCCAGAACACGTCAAGGTTTAAAGAGATACACTGGGGATGAGGTCACATACTGAACTGCGATTCCACTGGGTTTGGTTTCAGAAATGAGAATAAACAGTGATGCTGGGACTGCTTAGACTGTCCTGTGGTAGGATAATAAGTTTTCTTAAAGACCTCTCTCAGTTTTCTTCAGAATGTGAGAGTTACCAATAAAACTGAGGGAGTGTAAACGATGACTCCTGGGAGACCCAGACTTGGATGTCTGGGACCCTGAGGCTCGTTCTCCACATCACAAGGAGACCGCACCGCACTCCTACAACACTGACAGGGCTGGTAGCCACCTGCGCAGCTTGTGTCCTGTGGTCACGCTTCATCATGACATCATCCTTTGCTTATTCTAAAGGTAGGGCTGTAGAGCTTTGGACTCTGGCACATTGAAAACCAGAGAGTGTATTTTTCAGATCTTTCTACATTCAAATCTGTTTGAGTGACTGATTTTTTTCAAGATAATAGAGACAGATAAGTAGATAGAGTAATATAGATATAAATAAAGTTTTCACTATACTTTAGTCTATACATTATAATTCCTAAGCTATGACAGTTGTAAGATGTTTTATTGCTCTCAAATCTAACACTAAGACCAATGATCACAATAAAAAAGTAGTTTATTGTGGGGTCATCTTTGTAATTTACAAGAAAAGTAATAATTTCTTAAGTGCTTTGTATCATTCAAATCATTTCCAGGTCTCGTAGGCAATTAGAGGTAGCCAGAAGGTGCCCTCCTCCCTCTACCAAGGAGGACAGAGGTGACCTCTGAAGTAAAGCTGGCCCCTGATGGCACTGTTGACAGCACCGGGGAGCTGACACAAACACAATTTGTCAAGCAGCCCTTTCCTGCCATTTCTCTATCTGTCCACAATTTGCCATCTCAAGAGCTGCAGAGATTTTCCCCTTTGTCCTGCAGCTTCTATAGAATGTACTAACCAGCGTGAAAGGTGCTGCGTAAGCCAGAGCTCAAAGCCACCTCTTTGAGAATTCTTGTACATGGGTATCTATCAAGTAATATAAATGATTTTTCTCTTCTAATCAGTCTTTTGTTTCAAGTATCCATGCCAATTGAGAAAAAGTTATATTTTCTCCTCCCACAATATTCTGAGCCACCACACACTAGTTCTGAGCCATAGCACCTCTCCCCAGGAACATGGAATGCTGGCTCCTAGGCCTCTCCTTCACCACTCCTGTTTTCTCTCTGCCTGCCACCCTAAGCCCATCTCATTTGATTCCCATGTACTCTTTAAGAATCAGATTTATCACATCTGGTGCCACAACCCTACAATCTCAGTACTATCAGAGGCTGAGGCAGAAGAACCCAAATTTGAACCCAGCCTGGGAATCTAAATGAGACCCTGTTTCAGAATGAAAAATAAGTGGCTGGGGTGTAGCTTGGCAAAAATACTCTGAAATCATTTTGAGTATGGGAAGAAGGAAAGCAAGGAAGGAAAAAGAAAGGAAGAGGTAAGGAGGGTGAAAGAGGCAGAAAGAGGCAGGAAGGAATGAAGGAAGGGAGGGAGGGAGGGAGGGAAGAAGGGAGGGAGGCAGGCAGCAAGCAAGTATGCAGGCAAAAGGGAGGGGAGGGAAGCAAGCAAGCAGATCTCCCTGGAGGCCTCCCTGGACCCGGGTTGGAGGCTTCTATGCCCTCTGCTCCTGGCTTTACATGGCACTCAGTGAGCACCCGTCTTTAAGCTCATGCATGATGACCAATGCCAAGATTCCTAGATGTACCATGAGCTTCCTTTTAATTATTATTTCTTTTCACTATGAGCTTTTTGAGCTAAGGATGACACCTTGTTCCTTTTTATATCGCTCGCCTCCAGCATAGCCCTTGGTGCGTAACTGGTGCTCATTACACAAATGCACACAAGGAGACATGAGCAAAGGAAAACAGCCACCACGGGTGCTCAGAGCCCGCCCAATCAATGCAGAGCTCTTTCCTTCTGTGCCTATGATAGCCATCAAGTGTGTTTTTCTAGGGCAGACATCTGGTCCTCCACTCTACTCTCCAGCGCTTGTGTAGTTCACTTTATTGTTTTTAAGAAGGTACACAAAACAGAGAGAAACACTACCCTTCTCTTCATCATTGTAACATAATGATGAGGCAGCTGTGGGACATCCTGCCATGCCTTCCACAGAGTGGGGACACCTGCACTGCCACAACCGGCCTTCAGACCCATGGCAGCCCTTCCACCGCCGAGGCTCCCAGCACATGTTGGCACTGAGAGCCACAGTGTTTGGTGGGAGTTGACATCTTCAGTATTCGTAGGAGCTTAACTTAATGCAGTCTTAACTTCTTCAAAGATATTCCTGTGGAGACCACGTTCTGCATCATCTGTGGAGACCATGTTCTGTATCTGTGGAGACCACGTTCTGTATCTGTGGGCAACAGTTTTAACCTAGGCCCATAAAGTGGGCAGAATTTCACACTGGAGAACGTACTCCAATAGTCACTGAAGGCCTTGCAAGCTGCTGGGCCAGAGCCTGGCCCTCCAGAGAGGAGCCGAAGGTGCACCCCCCCCACAGTCCCTACTAATGCACAGGCCTTATTAGCAGCATAAGGAGCGTGAAATGCATATATATATATATATATATATATATATATATCAACAGAGTCATGGCAGAGATATAGACTAACTAAAGTGCCATAGTCTGACTCAGTCTTATAAGAAGAAAATGCAACAGCGATAGCTGACACAAAGCAGCCTCCTATTAAGCAAATAGCAGGCATCAGGCAGAGCTACGAAACTAGTAGCATTCATGAATATTTTTGACAAAGCTATTTCCTCTTATCAAATATTCAGTTTTTATGGGAACCAGCATTATCTAATCTGCCTGTTTTTCACTCATTTGCACTTTAAGACACTGTGAGAACTTATTCATACTCAGCCCCAAAGGCTTCTAAGCCTTTTGTCTTAAAACCTTGAAAGTTGTTGAAGCCAACAGCAAATAGTTGAAAACACCTAGAGATACTCACAGGAAATGTGGGGGATGCAGACACTGGCTGGCCCTTGAGCTAACAACGGGGCAGAGGTGAGCAACGCAGCTTTCTTCATTGCTACGATCCTTGTCAGTCCACGAGAGTGGCAGACAGGAAGTCCCTGTACTCTAGCAGCCCAAACCTGTCACTCCCAACCAGCCTAGGAGCTCCACACTTGCAGGCATTACTCTCACCCCAGGATATGACCTACACATACAAGGCACTAAATACAACACAAACCTTCAAAAGTCTTCCGTAATCACTCCTTTCCAGAAAGAACAGCCAAGGACACATTCTTCATTTCTTGGGTACGTACCAAGCACATGCTCTGGGTTAAGCAATTTATCCTGGATTTATTGCTCATGAATACATCTCATGTCTTTCTGGAAATGCCTGTTTTTACCCTGGGCTACCTCTCAGAACAATGAATCCCAGCTGCTTAGTGATCCTCACATAAATAAGCTATTTGATTTTATTTACTCCAAAAGAAATCATTTAAGCCTCATGGAATGCCACCAAAGTCTGAAATACTTTTCCAGGTTTTGGCAACTATGCACTCCACAGATATATTGTCTATGCCAGGCTTGATGCTCTATGCTGTAACCCCCGAAATTAGTAAGACATAGTTCAATTCTTACAATATAACAAAGAACGTTGACCAATGCTAACAAGAATGACAGTGACACTATCTAAGGTTGATACTGTGTGCTGACCACGGTTCTCCCACCAGTTATCTGAGTTTGCCCATGCAGGAGTGACCAAGATACAGTTGCAGACTCAACTTGCTATTCACTTGCTCTGAGTCCTTGGGGGTTACTTGACTCAGTTTCTTCCACTGTAAAGCGAGGGCGGGACATAACAACAGAGCCTCGCTGGAAGCGCTGTGTGAGTGCAGTCAAGGCCATGGTGTGGGCCGCACTCCCAGCCAGCACCACAGGAGGCCTTTCTGAGAAGACTTTCCTGCCATGTTTGCCTCCTTCTGTCTCTGTGGAGCCAGGACCATCAGTACCCACTCCACACTCAGCGGCACTGACTCATCCAAGACCACTGATTGGTGTTCTCAGGCAAATTGGATAGACCAGCAGGGGAAGGGGAGGCTCAGTCTGACAGGAAGGGGGCCTGCAGGAGCTCTGCAGGAGCAGTGACCTGCACAGCTCTGGAAGAAGGGGAAGATGGGCTTGCCATCATGAGGCCCTGAAAACTGCAGTCCCCAGAGACTGAGGTCCCAGGTTTCCCCTGCCAGTCCTGGAGACCAAGTCCTGTAGTGACCAGAGGCCCCCAGGGTGACCCTCCTCCCTCACCCCAGTGCTTTCAGCTCTCCAGCCTTGGAGGGTAGAAAGGCATTGACATGCCTTCTGAGCACGGATGCTGGTGGGCCCTGCAGCAAGGGCGTGAGAGGTAGCACACCCTCTGCACCTCACACAGGACTTGTGGAGGGGATGAACATCTGGCCCACTCTCAGCTCACAGTCTTTGTGGTTGAAGGAAGCCGCCATTATCAGAGGATTTATTGGGAGCCTACAGATGTGTGACCTGAGAATCTCCAGGCTGTTCCAGTTTCCAGGGCTGTTGACATTGCCACCCCAACCTCATGACTGGCCTCGGCCTGGCCAGTCTGCAGGACACCAGAGACCTCCAGAGGCAGAAACGGGACCTGACTGGCAGAGCCTGGGCACTTCCACCCACCTCTGAATTGAGCGGTGGGACAAGTGACCAGAGAGGTACCTTTTGGTGCTAACATTCAAACAAGCAAAAGGGAACGAGCACACACAAAGTCCATTTCTGTTCACTGGTCCCCATGATGGGCCACTGCCCCACGCTCCCGTAAGGAGAATGCAGTGTGGCTGTCCTTGCCGGGAATTGTGTAACTCAAAGGGGGTGCCCTGGGGACAGCCTGTTTGGGGGCACCACTTCCTCACCCTTGCTTGTGGTCACATGTCTTACTCCTGCTTCCTGCCTCTTGTCACTAACAGAGTAGAGTACATTGCCCATGTGATTTGTTGGATTCAGTAAACTGCGACCAAAGTGACAGTGAAGGCCCAGCCTTGATTTTAAGAGCTGCACTTTTTTCCCTTTCTTCCCCGTCTTTCACGCTGAAGGAGAAGACCATGCTCATCTTGGTGAAGGATGAGGAAAAGAACACCTGCAGAAGGAGCACCAAGGCTGTTAGCCCAGCTCAGCCCAGATCAGCCTGCACACAAGTGACCCTAGACTCCTACATGGGAGCCCCTGCCCTGGGGCCACCTGCAGGCTGGCCAGCTGTGAACGGGTGCATGGATGCTTCCATGAAAAGCTGCTTTCTTGGAAGCATCATTGATGTCCTTTGTTTCCTTTTTCCAAGTGTAAGTTCCTCAGGAGATGCAGAGGGCTAAAGAGGAAGCAGAGGGCCTCACTGGCTGGTAGAAGGACAATATGGAAGGAATGAGATGAGAAGCATAGACTTACTTTCCATGAGCTCCTGGCCTCCTAGAAGAAATGTCCTTTGGGGGGATCCCTGTTCATACATCACTCCAGGACATGTAATGTTGGCTTGGGCTTTGGATTGGTCCACCCAGTCTTCATTGTTGCAAAGCAGGACATCAGGGGAGCTTAGCAGCCCACAGACAAGGGGCCCTGTAGGGGAATAAAGGGTGGTGTGACCAGGCAGAACTGGAGCCCCTTAGAGACTCCTTTCTATGCCTGGGAGGCCTCCTAGGTGGGAATAGGTGACAACAGCTCAAGCATAGACAGAGACACTAGAACTCCAGAGCCAGGCTTTAAATCCAGTCCTGAAAATGGCCTTGGAGGTCTTCTCCTATAGGGCTCCCAAACCAAGTGCTCAGATTGAGGATATAGAAAATGCAAGGAGAGTTTTAGAAATGCTCACTTGCAGGCAGCAAACATGAATGGGCCTGTGGAGTAGGCAGGACGCATATGGAGGCTTGGGGGCTACTGTTGGCAGAGCACACACAGGGGAGTCTGGGGCACAGTGAGATTCACCAACCAAGACGGGCCACCTTGCTTTGCAGAAGAAACAGATATTGAAAGGTGAATTTTTTTTTTCTGGTTACAGGGCAACTGTGGGGTGGTCGGGCAGGCAGTGAGTGCTGGCCATGGAGCCCAGAGACAGTGCAGGCCTTGGAGAAAGCCCTAGCACTGCGGTCTGGCCTGCCTCTCACGCCTCCTTGCCCCTCCCTCTCACTCCCTTTCCAGTCTCTCCACCAGAGACACAGTTAAACACAAAGTGAGTGAGTGTTCTGCTTTTGGCCAAGACATCTGGGCCCCTTCCCAGCGCTGGAGCATTGGTGAGAAGCCTGGTGGCCCATGAGCTGGGGCTGGCTGGATACTAGAGGTCACCTTGCTGACTGTACCTGCCAGCTTGTGGCACTCCTGTGATCTTCAGGGCACACAAGTCCCCCCACCACAGCCCCACATTCAAGGAGCCTCGAATGAAATGTAGGTTCAGAGCCTCAAAGAATTAGACTAACTATGTGCAGAAACAGCTTTTGGGTCTAGCTACTGGAAGAAAGAAGCTGGAGGGCTCTGTGAGGAGCAGCTGGGAGCAGAAAAGGACGAACAGCCCACCAGAAAGTGAACCATCTTTCCAGGCTGTGGTGGAAGGGTGTGGTGGGAGTCTGTTCTGGGGCATCAGCAGATTCAGCCAGAGCTGTGTGAGGTAGGACTCTGTGTGTGCCCCTGTGTGTGCCTGAAGGGACACCACCCAGACTGAAGGGACAGCATGTGTGCTGCCTGTGCCTACAGAGCGCCCAGCTGCTAGCGCCACCAGCTGACCCATCGGCTTAGCAGAAACCACAGCCCACAGGTTAAACTTGGAGGGAAAAGCGAGCAAGCAAGCTACCAGCCTAAAATGTCACGGAAGAAGGGCCTGTGGGCTGACTGTTCCAGGGAGCAAAGCTATTTTTCCATACATGATCCTAAGGAAAACTCAATCAATCTTTCCAGCTTGAAAGACCACGTGGTCTGGTAAGTGACTGAGCATCTGGTGAGATTATGGCATTGAATATCAGAGGCAGAGAGCTAAAAGAGGCCTCCTGGTTTCGATTAGAGAGCGTGGGTTAGAAACATAAAGGGCACATAAAGACTGTGATAAGACATCTGTGCAGAACACACTTTCCCCCTCTTTCCCCCTTTCTGTGTGTATGCATAAAGCATTCTCTCCCCTGTCTAAATGCTAACATGAGTCCACATCACATAGTCATAGAGCATTAAACCTGGCAGGAATTACAGGGGTAATTTTACTCTACTCTGGGTTCCTGCCTCACCTCTCCAGTAAAGATCATAAATATCCTCATCTGGCTCCCACTGACTGGAGTGTTGCCTGCTGTGAGCCACACTCAGCTCCCTGCTTCCCGGATCACTGTCTCCCGCTGAGGTTTCTACTGGGCACCTAGTTCCTGTGCACTGCCTCTCCACATGTAGGATGCCTTGTGTCCCTCTCTGCAGATTCTCTCTTTGCCCCTGGGTGGTCACTGGACTTGCCCAACCCCATTTATCTTCTCACTCTTTCGCTTCTCTCTTCCAAGGAAATCCCAGCCAAAGCCATACCTTCTGATACGACTGCAAAGCCTCATATTCCACAGTGAACATCTCCTGTCCAAACTTTGCCTCTGAGCTCCAGAACTCTGTCCAAAAGTCATTTTGTGACTGTCTCAAAGGTGCTTCGAACTTAGCATATCCCACGTGGACCATGACTTTCCTAAATCTTCCCCCATCACCAAATTAATCGCTGGTACCTTCTATTACTCGTCATAAGAGCAGACTACCCAGCCAGGTGACAAGCTAGAGACACTCAAGAGCGATCCTCGGCACCTTCTTCTTCCTGAATCCCCATCACCACACTCCTCTGAACTGCTTCCTAACAGGCAGATGCTGTCTGGTTTTGACCTGCACGGCCATCACCTAGCCAAGCTACCTCCTTTCTGCTGGCCACTGCAGGTGCTCATCACTGACCTCCCCATCTACTGAAGTCCCTCTGCGTCACCTTCACCCTCTAAACTCAGAACACTGGTTTTAAGATCCAAGTGGGATTGTGACACTTCCGTGATTAAAACTTACAGTGGTTTCCATCACTTGAGGAATAGATAAAAAACATGTGTGTTTATACAATGGAGCACTACTCAGCCATAAAACAGTTAAGCTTGGGCCTTGTATAGGTAAATGGATGCAGCTAGAGACCATACTCATAAGTGAACTAAATCAGACCTGCATGTGTAGACATTGTATTGTCTCCTTAGTGTAAAAACCTAAAAGAATAAAATCAGAAAGGTACAATACATACAGCAAAATGGAAAGAAAGTAAACATAAGGAATAAACAATGAAGATGAGGGGAAAGAGAAAAGACAGGGGAAAAATCATGTAAGTATATGCACAGGATAACTGAGATGATTGTACTATTAATTTCTATCAGTTTTTTGAAAGTAGAAGTTAATGTCTAAAATTTTAAATTTGCCTACCTCTGTATGTTGATATCTACAGTCTGAGCGACTGCACTGAGGACAGCAATGTGCAATATAGCAACCATGGCTGAGTACCTTTGATCTGGTTCTTTTAAATGTATATCATCTCTAATGTCTCATCTATTATTTTGTTATTATTATTATACTCTCTTTAAAATAAATAAAAATTAAAATTAAAAGGAAAAGAAAAAAGTAAGTTTTAGTGAAAGAGTGACTGTCTAATTGTTTGGTCACTCTTGTATGCCCATATCTGATAATCTGACCAACAAATTTGATGATAACAATATGCAATATAACAACCATTGTTAATTTTCCATTCTTGTTTTGACATCTGTGCTATTTGTATTGTTTTATGTTCCTTTGATTCTGTCTTTGTTGTTGGTATTTGTTTTTTTTTTTTTTTTTTTTAAAGTATTTAGTAACATGGTCTACAGGGTCTCACTGCACAGATCAGACTTGTAGTGATCCTCCTGTTTTCAGCCTCCCAAGCGCTGAGATTACAGGCTTGTTTTGCTTCTGTTTTCTCCTCTTTAACATAAAATGACAAAAGCTGCCATGCGCCCCCCCCCCCAGGTGCTCTGTCGCATTCCCTGCCTCTCTCCCGGCTCTCCTCATGCCAAGTCCTCTCCCTTCACTTGTCCCTTGCTCTGGTGATCATAGCTAACTAATGCTTCCTTTCCATTACCAAGCGCACACTTCCAACATGACCTTTGCACATGCTGTCGCCCTCCTGAGAACTCTCTTCCCCTGTCCCATCACTGAACAAAACCTACTAAGTGTTTAAGGCATCGGAAAGTCTTCGTGAATTGGGAGAAATTGTATTATACATTTTCAAGGTGACGCTCAACTGTTTGAGGGCTTATGACTAAAGCATTACCCTTTCCTCCCTCGGGATCTGAGAGGAGGAAGCGAAGGCAGGGGAGGAACGCATGAGCTCTTGGTGCCATGAATCACAAGAGCTGAACTGTCATGAGGAAAATGACTTACATATTCAGAACTGAAGCTTCTGGGCTCTTAAAACTGAACATACAGATGAAAACACACCAGGCTGGGCTGGTGAGATGGCTCAGTGGTCTAAAGCACCTATTTGAATAAGCTTAGCTAAAGCAAAGGGACCACGGTTCAATCCCCCAGCACCACATGCCAGCCAGCTGCGCCCCCTGGTGGGCTGAGCTGGCCACACACACACACACACACACACACACACACACAAAAAAAAAGAAAAGAAAACACACCAGGGTTACCATGGGAAGTGCTTAGCACAGTGTGCGCCTGCGGAAGCGTCTGGCTTTGGATCTCACTTGGTATGAATGAACAGCACTTCCTGAGTGGGTGCAGCGGTCTCAGCCCAGCATTCCCTGTGTCGCACTGTGGGTCACGGCTGCTGTGCATCCGTTCCCTGCCCCGGTTAACCTGGCCCTCCTCGCCAGCCTCACCTGCTAGGATCTGGGAGAGGATGAAGCCATCGCAGCAAACATCATGCTCACAGGCCAGAAGACAGTACAGGTGGGCATCGGTGAGGTTGGCTCCCGAGTCTGAGAACACCATGGCGCTGTACAGTCCAGACAACGTGTTTTTGAATCCAGTGGGTTCAAAGGTCTTTTGGCCTGCTGTGGTGAATTCTTGGCCTGATAAAGGCAGAAAAAAAGATGTGAAAGATTTCAAAACACTGTGGAGTTGAGCATAGATAACTGTAGACAACAGACCTCAGGGTTGGCCCTGCATGTACTCAGCAGAGCAGAGGGCAAGACACAAAGCTGTCACGAGCTGGAGTTGACTGTGTGGGGTGTGCAGCCAGCCAAGGTCTTGGGGACCTGGACAAATGCTCCTTATACCAAAGAAGATCTGAGGGCTCATCTGCAGAGCTGGTATTATTATTATCATTGTTGTTGTTGTTGCTATTGTTATTGTTATATTTACAATTGTTATATTTATTATTGCCAGAAATAGTATGAGAGCTCTACATACTCATGGAGAGACACTCAGCCCTGAGCCTCCTCTCCATTCTCTCAGCCCATTTCCATGGGCCTGCTCTAGTTTCTGTAACACAGATCAGTCTGAACACGTGGCAGACAGGGCAGCTGGGCCACGTCATGCCCACATGGCACTGGTTGCTGTACTACTGTTTCCGCTGGCATCACCCTGCCTGGGGACATCAAACGCCAACAGAAGTTCATACTGCGATAGGCAGATACAGCTGCATGCTGCTGCTGCAGCAACCTCAGGACACACAGTCAGCACTGGGGCTTTCCTCTGGCCTGCCCAGTTCTGCCTTTTTCAAAGGGCTGCTGGCTTCAGAGTTTTCTGGAGATGTGAGTAGCAGGATGCAGCCTCTTCCTGGGCCTCATCAGCATGGTGAGAGGGTGGGCTGGGCACACTGGGGAACTTCCAGACCCTGACTTCCTCTGGCTCTGAAGGGCATACATATTCTCTGGGTCCGAGGTCCACAGACATTACATCAGAGCAAGCGGCAGTGGGCTACAGACTAAGCTCAGTGTCGCTGTCCTGTGCTTCACGCCTGTCCTTCAGGCTACTTGCAGGCCATGACTGGACATAATTAGCTACCTTTAGGTGCCAAGGACTGTTCAGAAAACACAAGCTCTCCTCCTTGGTCATGACAGCTGTCCCAATTTTTTAGAAAAGAGCCCACACTTCAAGTAACACTGAGTTGTGGCTGATGAGAGACAGGCACTGCGGGAGGCAGGTAAGGGAAGGCAGGACCCTGGAGGCAGAGCCAGCCAGCTCGGCCATGTTTCTCTCCAGCTCAGCAGGACCAGCATGGAGCCCTGGGCATCTCTGAGATAAACAAAAGTTCCAAACACAAGGAAAGGAAGCGCCTTTCTGCCCTTGATTATTTTGGCAACAGGAAGGTTTTCCAATTTCTCCTGTACTCTTCTCCCAGGTATAAACTTTTGGGGAGGAGAACGAAAAGAAAAAAATAACAAACCTCTAAGAAACACAGTTGCACTTTTAAAAATGTGATAAACAGCTAGCTTATGGATTTAAAGAACATTTTTAGTGAAGCTACTTGTTTATTTTCATTTTTATTTTTAGAAAATAATTCCTATGCTTTGTATTTTTAAAGATGGATGGTTAAAATACTGGCATTAGGATAAACACTCAGGCTGAGCTACGATGGCCCCACATGGGGCAAAGGAACCCGAGCTCCGGCAGTCTCTGTCCTCAGACACATGCCCACACACACTGTTAGGTCAAGACAGAGGCGTTGGGAAAGAGAGGAGTGGACGGGGAATGTTTGCTGTGACTGAAGACAGCTGTGGCAGTCTGGCAAAGAGGGGTCGGGGCAGGGCACTGTGTCCACTTGCAGCCAGAGGCTCCAGGACAAGTCTAAAGTTCCCGGGAGCCCATATTATCTTCCCTGTGCTGTAGACTTCAGAGAAAGACAGCCCCACTGCCCCTTATTCAAACCCCAGGTCCTAGTTCCAGCCACCACTGCCTTCTATCCCATAGTCATAGCTCCAGTCATCAGGAAGCTTATCAACAAGAATGAAAACAGTCATAGAGATAGTCTTTTTTTTTTTTTTCTTTTTTTCTTTTTGCAGAACCAGGGATTGAACTCAGAACCCTGTGCTTACCAGGTAGGCACTTATCCTACTGAGCTATCTCCCCCGCCAAGAGATATCCTATGCAGTTGGAGTGTTTGCAGTGTGTCCATCCTTGAGCACGTCACACTGGCCATTTTACCCCACCAGAGAGCCTGGGTTCCTGTAGGACTCCAGTTTTACTGGTGATACTGGTGAAGACATGGAAGCTTACAATATCCAGGAATTTGTCCAAGATCACACATTTGGAAAGGAACAGGGCTGGAGTGTACCCCACACAGGTGGCTCCCACATACTGGCTTTCAAGCCTTAAGCCCCAGGGAAGTGAAGGGCCAGAGCAAGGATTGAGGGGAGATCCACAAAACAGACAGCAGAACCAAGCCCCATATTGCTGGTAACTCCATGTACCTGACAGATGGGGGCAGGGGGCAGGGCAGGGCAGGGTGGAAGAGCTTAGGCCACAGGACTCTAGGAAGGTTGGCTGCACATCCGCTCTATGCTACCTATGGCCCAGGTGGCTTCCCTACTGTCCCTCTTGTAAGAGTTGCTATGACGGTAAAATAAAAAGCAGAATCAGAACATGAGCTATATACCATAACATCGTGTACTTCTTGCTGCTTGAAGAGTGTTCTCTAAACCAGAGCATCCTCAGAGAGATTAAAAATGCAGGATGTCTGTGCTACCCTGTTTACTGGATCCAAATCCATAGGTCACCTGTCTCCCAAGTGATGCACACGTGCTACATCCAGAGCAGTTCCCTGAACCAGGGAATGGAAGAGCAAATCCCTTCAAGGTTCAGAATGCCTGGGAGGAAGAGGTCTGGCAGTGTTCAGCGAGAGTGGCAGAGAAGAAGCTGCAGGACTGAGAAGGCCAGGGTGGAGGACAGCTGCAGAGAGCTGAGCCCAGGCCCTTCTGGGATGCCGACATTACAGGTGCCATTGGGGTCTTACATGAGGGCCCACAGGTGGGACTTGCTGGGTTCTGCTGAAGCCCTGCTCACTCAGGCTCTGTCTTGGCTATAGTTCAGAACCTCGTCCACTGCATGAGCTCATGTCCACACAGACTTCGCTGAGGGTCAAATCGGATGGTACAAATGAGCACAATGTGCAAGCCTGTTGCAGCTGCTGGGAAGACTGCTGTCTGCATAAGAAGTGGAGGGAGCCTGCTGCAGGACAGATGGGAGAGCACTGGCCCAGGGCATGGAGGCAGGTGGGGGTGGTCTGCTCTCCCCAGGCCCACCCTGCTGAAGACCAGCTCCAAGCATGAAAGGGGCCCTGAGGCACACAGTTTTGCCAACTTACCCTTTTTCAAATACACGGCCAGAGATTCTTGATCACGGTTCCTCACTTTCACCTGGCACCTAAGACTTGCAAAGCCATTGACTTGTGAGCTCCCCAGAGCATCTTGTTCCTGGAGAAAGGAAGCAGATCAATCACCATCCCATGATGCTTAGCAATTCAATTCAACATACGTTTCAAGCTAACCATAGCCAAGGAGTGAGGCCACAAAATAAAAAAGAAAAATGTTCTTGCTGGTTAGTTTCTTCCAGGCTATGGAGCAGACAGACATATAATCCATAAATCTATCCCAAAATGTTAGCTGCAAGGAGCCAGGTAATTAGAAAGGAGATAATCATGGGGTAGGTGCTATGAATAGTTCTGTGGAGAAGCAGAACTCAGGGAAGTTTCCCGGCAAAAGTAAATCTCAGTAAAGTTCTGATGTATGAGTAAGATCTGGCCAAGTAGAAATAACAGAAGGGGGAATTTTAAGCAGAGGAAACAGCAGACATGAACACTGGATTCAATGGAGTATAGGCTAGACTCAGTGAAAGGAGGACCAGAGAGAGTGGGTGGAGGCAAAAGCCAGCTCCTGGGTAGAGATGCATAGCTTCTATCCAGGGAAGGTTCTAAAGCTAGAAACCTTGAGGTCGCACTCCCAGAGGTCTCAAATTCTTAGTATCTCTGAACTCTCTTGTGACTTGTTTTGAGCAGTTCTATTCTATGGGTGTGTGGGATAAATTCCACTACATCTGTCTGTGTTTTAAACCTGGAGGCTTGCTCTCCCATCCTGATTGTCAGACTTGAGTTTCCCGGGGAATTGTTGGAGCCCAGTGGCGAAAGCAAGGGCCTTTGGAGGGCAGCAGTGCCTCCTGCTCTTCAGTGTGAGCTCAGTGGAGAGTTGCTGACCTGAGGAGGGTGCAAGGGTCTTAGAGATGACCCAGGAAAGGGCTGCTGCATGCTGGAGTGGGGGCCCTTGGCCCTTCTGTGCTGGTTCCCTGGGCAGGGTCAGCAGGAGGCCACGTGGATGACGGGACTAGGGCAGGCTAAGCCCAGTGTACAAGGACCCCTGCAAAGAGCGCCTCTTCCCCACAGCCCAGGGCCCTCAGGATGGAGTTTGCTGCTAACCTGAGTGGGGAAGGACCTGTTGGCATTAGCAGCACTGATGCTGACGGTGATAATGATCACTGAGAACCTTCTCTGCCTCCTGCCTCTTGTGTGCATCCTTCAGCTACAGCCCCTGGCTCAAGGGCCTAAAACTCACACCTCTTCTAGGATGCCACTTAGAGACACAATTTCACACGTGAGTGTGTGACACTAGTGTCTGTGATGTTACAAAACTGTCACAGAGGTACATGTCCTTAACTGAGGGGATGTGAAATGGATGCTGCCTGTGAAGTGACATGCTGCTATTGAAGATACAGGTACGGATAACTCTCAAGGGGAAACTGAGGTAAAAGGAACACAGATGAGAAAATATCAGCATGAACATAAAAACATATTCATAAATACATAGACACTTTCCAAAAGGATTTGTAAGAAACTGGTACATAAAACAAAGATTTATACAGCCTGGGAGTTAGAAAACTAGCACAGGAAACTTATGCTTTGCATTGGAGACCCACCAAGGACTCAGAGAGGCAGACAGGATGAGGGGCTGTAGCAATGACCTCACGGTACGTGGGTACAAGTGGCCTGACGAAGTGAGCCGAGGGGATGGGAAGTGGGTGCTCCCCACCGAGTCTCTTGACTCCCCAGGAAGTGACACTGCCCCTACGCCTCTAGTCAGGCTCAGGCCTTCTGCAGCTGCAGCTCCCCAAGCCTCACGTCTCCGCAGGACCAGAAGCCCCAGCGATCGCTGCGGACCGTCTCACCCCACCACCTGGCAGCCCACAGCACGGCATCCGGGCGCTGCATCACGCCACGCCTCACCTGCGCAGGAGTCGTGCAGGCGAAGTTGTCACCTGTCCAGCCATAGAAATCACACGTGACCTCTGAGTTTGTGGTGAGCATGGCGAAGAAGCTGCAGTGCTCATCTGCGGCACAGTCTGCAAATGCCATTTGAAGGACAGTCACCTTCTTGGCGAGGTGGTGGTGGCAAGGACAGATAGTGTCCTGCCTGGCACACACTGCACACTCACAGCACCCCACGTACACTCCCAATATACCACTAAGTACAAACACACAATATACCAGGCACGCTCCCCAAGTATGCACATAACACATATGAACAGACACACATATACACATACCATGTACCCCAATACACCCCACATGCACACTTATACAGACAGACACAGACACAAACACACAAACATACACTATCATACACAAGCCCACTCTCCTGACACACACACAGATACAAATCTAGACAGACACACATAAACACACAATGTACATGTAAGTACACGGGAGACATTTACTATAGCTATGTCACCTGGCGTGTGCTATGATAACGTGCCCTGTGTCAGGGGACCCTTGTCCCCCACCTCACAGCTGAGGAACAACAGAAGACAGCTGGGTTCAGCTCTCACCTAAGGTCACAAAGCTAAGGAGCAGGAGAGCCAGGATTCTGGTCCCAAATTCGGACCTGAGAACCCACACAGTTACTGCATGAGCCCTTTCCACTCCACTTGCTTTATTCTAGGAAGGCCATGGCTAGGGATCCCTGGGATCACACGTGTGTCTGAGGCTGGAGGAGATCTCAGGGATGTGATGATACAGAATGATCCACATTTCTCATGACGAAGCCCTGTGACAAGAGGCCCCATATCATGCTGCAGGCACAAGGCCACTTGGCTTTTGCTGTACCATAGGTGTGAAGCGTGGTGGCCAGCATAGAGAAGGCTCAAAGAGTTTGTTAAGCAAATGGATGAAAAGACACTATTTCCTCAACTGAGCCATATTCAACTGTGTAAAATTCAGGAACAGTGATAGCTACTAATAATTTACCAAGAATGCAAGATTTACATAAAAAAATGAAGTTGACTGAAAAAAGACTTACAAATGTGCAAATCCCATTTGAGGGTCAGACACCACTGGGGTGTCACTGCACTATTCATACCGACCACTGTGTTCATGAGAGGCAAATTCAGAGGTGAAGGACACTGCTGAGAACTGCCACAGGCACGTGGTGAACGGCTGCAAAGCAGTCAACCAAGAGCCTTCCCACTCCAGGCCCTGTGCTGTGACTCCCTACAATGCTGTCCCAGCTGCAGGGCAAGGAAGAGCCAGGGGCCTGGAGACTGAAGTGTTTTCCTTTCCTCTGGAAGCACAACTCTCAAGTGGAACCATGGTTGTGAAGGTGGGGAGGGAAGCAAACTTGGCTATGAAGGTGAGCCTCAGCTGCAAAGGCGGCTCCCCAGAATTGGACCTTGGCTGAGAAGGTGGCTGCCTAGGGGTGAGCCCCAGCTGAGAAGGTGGCTGCCTGGGGGTGAGCCCCAGCTGTGAAGGCATCTACGAGAGGTTCATCTCAGTGTTGTATAGTTCCAGTACCCCCATGAACTGGGCACTGAGAAGCAAATCTGGGTCTTTCCAGCCACGTACTCAGTCCCATTCAGAAAGAGCAATTCACAGGTTCACCTATTTCTGCCCCATGGCCCACTTCTACTTCGACTCTATGACTTTGGTCTTCACTGCAAGCAGTCTCTGCTCCATGCTCAGAGACATGGCCAACCAGGATGGCCAGAAGAGTTCTGCATCAGGACTATGGAACAGTACTGTTTATCATAACTGGGTCTGAGGATACTTCCCTGGCTCCAAGCATAGCTTCCTCCTGTGTCCTACTGTACTACACCTTCCTCGTGCCCCTCATTGCACTGCTTAGATCTCTAGAGATGGGACTTTTATCTGGTCCCTTTATTTCCCACTGTATCCTCCTCTCTCACTGCCAGGTTGATGTTATTTTCCATCCTCCTAAGTGGACCTTTCACCTTCTGTAAAGTCTTGATGTTCATTCTGTGGTCAATGGGGCCCCACTCCACTCATATGTTAATGTCCTAACCCCAGCACCTTGAGTGGGATTTCATTTGAAGATAATGACTTTGAAGAGGTAACTCAGTGAAAAAATGAGGTCATTAGGGTGGACTCTAATCCAATATGACTGGTGTCCTTCTCAGCAAAGGGGACTAGGACACAGACACATAGATGGGAAGAACCACATGAAGACATGGGAGAAGACAGCCATCTATAAACCCTGTCTTCAGAACTTCAGCCTAGTGAATTCAGAACAAGTAAGTTTCATTGCTACCTGGTCTGTGGTACTTAGTGCTGAGTGCCTGAATTCTCGTGGCACAAGTATTTCCTGTCTTGGGTGGCCCCCTGTCATTTGTCTGACAGGACACCATGTTATCAGACTCTCCTGACATGGTGCCCAGCTATCATCTATCTCAGTCACCATGTTTATCCTCACTACATAAACCACCTCCTGATTCTAACTGATGGACCTGCCCTTCTGCTCACCTTCTTTGTAAGACTCTGCATCCTCTCTCTCCTGCCTTTCTACCTCAAGCTGTGTCACAGTGTGTTAGTGCACTCATGGGTGTGAGTGTAATATTCCTTGTCAGGATGAATTACTGCAATAGTGTGCTTCTTAGGCACATGCTCCTCATGTCCCCTCATCTGCCCCTTGGTTCTGGTCCCCTAGACCAGTGCTGGAGAACCTTTTAGAGCTTTCAGTGTTGCAACCAGCCTGCTGTAGCACACATGCCACAGGCCCACCACTGCTGCCCCAGGCCCTATAAATAGCATTCATTCTACATTTTTTTTCAGAGCCTTCTTCATGTCCTGCACTGTTTGGGCCACAACCAACATATGCTCATCATAGCCCGAGCAGGTATGCAATGCACACCTGTGCTACAGTGCTAATCAACAATTCAGACACTTCGTTACTGAAAAGGAATAATGCAATAAGGGTAAGACTGGAGGTTTAATATCACTACCCTGAATCAAAACTTAAATTCCATCACCTGCTAACTCTGTGTCAATGAACTTACACTCTCAGTGTAACTTGGGACCACAGTGGCTCCTCTGAAGATTATGAGATAATCCATGTCAATATATAGGCTCAATAAATATTAGCTGTTACTATTACCTGTCTGGTTGCAATAGACAGATACATAGCCTAGACAGCTTTACAATGATCTAAGTCTGTTCATTTCTGTCCCTAATATTTTGCATAATTCTTGCCATTTAGTACATGTGCTATAACTCTGCAAACTATGGGTTGAATATACATGTTAAAAATTCATTCATTCATTATGCTTTTGACAAGCTGTATTTTCTCATTATGGTTTTAATGGCATGCTTTCTTTCATTTCATCAGCATCATCAGAGGCTGTTTCTACGCCATGCCCAATGTGCCCATTTCTCCAGTGTTCCTCACCTGCCAAGCACTGCATCAGTGGGGATTCAGAACCAGGAACTTTGGACCTGACCATCCCAGGAGCATCAGCATTAAAGATCACCTTCCACTCAGGAGCCTTCTCAAATTTTTGCATCACTGAAAATAAAGCAGACATAAAATCTGACCAGGAAGGGTGCAGAGCATCTACACAAAAGTGTTAAGTAGAGCGAACGAGTCCAGTCAGGTCAGCCAACAAGACAGGTAGGAAGTCATTTCCAGGAGGCACCTCCTCATCCCTCAAGGCAGAACAATTCCTACTGAAGGGAGCTGCAGCCTGCTGTTCCAGTCCAACACTGACAGACATCACTTCCCTTATCTCCCTCTCCCTTCATCATTACCAGCGAGTACTATAAAGTTCTGATGCCATGTTAAACCTCTCAGTCCCTTTCTTTCTTTCTTTCTTTCTTTCTTTCTTTCTTTCTTTCTTTCTTTCTTTCTTTTCCAGAACCAGGAATTGAACTCAGGCCCTTGCGCTTGCCAGGGAAGCGCTTATTTCACTGAGCCATCTCCCCAGCCCCTCTCAGTCCATTCCTTTTCACTGTTACTGTCTTTCTCTATTTCAACTTGTACTTCCTCAGCCTTGTCTTTAAATTCTAATTATATGTAATTATTTTATTAAAATATTTCCCCAGAGAGTAAACTCTGACAAGGTAACTATGTTCACAAAGAGAAAGAATCAGGTAGTGTACACATGGGTTTGTCTACATTTGGAGGTGCCATGTGGCTCAGGCATTTTGAAGACGGTATTTGTTTAATTGATACATCATCATCTGTCTCTCTAGTTATCGTGAGCACACAGCATACTTGAGGCCCACTCAGGTGGAATCACATAGCCATGTGCTCATGGGAGTAGCTGAACGAGGAGGAAGACAGACAACTCAGCAAGGGGTGGGATTCAGAATGCATTCCTCACTAACTAAAGAAGTGTGGAGGATCACTCAAGGAATGAGATTCAGCTTCCAACCCACAAATGGCCCAAAGTGCTATTTTCAGGCAGCTGTCAAAAACCAAGAGTCCTTAATGACCCCGAAGCACATGAGCATCAGTTCTTTGCAGACGCAATTATGAACCCATACACGAGCACTCATCATCATTCCCAGCCACTGTTTTATAAACGAGCCCGTGTCTAGACGGGCTTTCATCGAGTCAGTACATTCATGTGTATTTATTTAAGAAGCAAAACATCTAAGTAGAAAATATAGCTGGGCCATCCAAAGCAATCTTTTCTCAGCACTCATAATAAAGCCATACAAATAAAAAATGTTTATTCTCATGGGATGGGACTGGAAGAAGAAGAAAGCATAGAAATGGCATGCTTTAAGCCCTCAAAAATTTTGACATAGCGAAGCACTCTAAGCTTGCAAAGTGGTCCTTCCATGAAGTTGCTAAGTTCACACACTCAGTCTGTACTGAGCTCTTCTCCTGTTTTCTCCTCCTGTCTTATTATTTTTGCAGTCTAGGATACCTTGTTTGGAAAAGCTGAGCTTCAGTCCAGCAAATTCCATGGTATAGTCAAGATAGTGTCCCTAAGTCTCGGCTGCTATATCACTTGCTCAAACATTCTAGAAGAAGAAACAATAAGTAAGTTCTGTTGAAACTACAGTCTGTGTGGCTTTCCAAGAATCTGCTGGTATTCAGGAAAGATACTGGTGAAGAATCCTCTTTCCTGCAGGCCTTCAGGACCCAGTTGAAGATGACTGCTGCAATTCGTCTTATCAGCAAGTCCCTATGGTTCTGGACAAGAACAAGAAAGAAGCTACAGATCTAACTCAGAAGAACCTACAGGTCAGTGAGGAGAGAGTTCAGAGAGGCTGCTTTGAAACTATAATCTTGACCTGAAGAGCAGTGCAGGGACCCTCCATAAGCAAAACTGCCATCTAAAATAATTATTCTGGGAGCAAAAATTAGAGACCATTGGATTGGGACAGTACAGAAGGCATGGCAACAACGCAAGAGGTAGCAGGGGCCCAGGCCCGAGGATGGCAGGGGGAGAGGACAGGTGAATCCCACTCAGGGAAACACCTGCCTGGGGAGGTATGCAGCTGAGCTCCGTGTCCTTTCATATCATGAGTGGCAAGGGCCTCAAATATGATTCTGCAATTCCCCTCTGGGAAGCAAGTTCTTCTCAGACACGCATAAGGAATTCTGAGAGAGAAGCTGACATTAGAATGGGGACAGTTTATTAATACGGAAATTCTTTACATATCTAGAAAGGCAGTGGTGAGTGTGAGCTTTGCATAAGAAGCTTAAGATGTTGAGAGCTACAACTACTATGTGGGGGCTATGCATAAGCCAGCACCATAGGGAGGTGCCCTCAGAGCTATCGGGGCTGAGCAGTGACTCCTGGATACTTCTAGTGATGCTAACTAAACCTTCTTTACTGCTCTGATTGCTGGATAGAGCAAGCCATGACAGGCTTTGCAAACTGCATGTGACATCCTCAGAGCTGGGCTGTTAGTACGGATGAGAGGAGGCAATGATCCCAGAATGGACAGTAAGCACCTGCACCCCCGGGCACATGGTTGTCGACCTGTGGACCTTTTCCTTCACCTGGAGTGAAGTTGCCCAGGTGATCTCTTAAAGCATCTGTCAGACCCAATTTCCAAATCACTAGCCCGCCCACAAAAAGAGAAATTGAGAAAAACCAAAATTTTTACTGGGTGTGCAACATATGCATGGACACACACATGCTGCTTTCCCCTTGAAAAGGGCCTCAGGATTTGTTAGCTCTTTGGCAGAGAATGCAAATGACTGCTCTGAACAATAAAACATGGTTAATTTCTCACTTGGATTTTCTCTGGTGTTTGTAGTTAAGTGTACCAACTTCCCTAGAGAATAGACAGGCCATTTGCATGTGTGTTTGTAAGTGTGTGTGTGTGTGTGTGTGTGTGTGTGTGTGTCTGTGTGCCTGTGTGTTTGTGAGTAGACTTGTGTGTACACATGGGTGTGAATGTGTATCTACACAGATGTGAAGGTCATGTGTGTGCATGTGGGTTGCATATGTATATTTAACAAGGAAGGAGATTAATCTAGGTAAAAGGGCAGCTTGGAGTTATAGAAAATGGGTGCTGGGTGCTTGGGAACCAGACACATACAGCTCAAGCTCCAGAGGCGGTACACCCTAACTATCGAATGAAGATGCACGCTCCAGTACTCTTCCTCAGCTTCCCGCAGGATAGTACTAGTCATGGTAGTATGTACCCCATTTGGAACGTATGGGACACATGTCAAGCTCTTGTACGCCAGGCTCTGTCCTCAGGCAGAGATGCTGAGAACCTGGTCATCCAGGTCCACTCTGGCTCACACAGTAGAAGGATGGCAGTGGGGACCTCCAGCAGCAGGAGAAGCTGTGGGAAGAGGGCACAGAGTCCTCAAGATCAGGAGGAAGAGGGACCACTCAGCTGGCTCCTGGTTAAGCCCAGAGGATGCAGGCAGTCTCTGTGGCTGAGCCTACTCATCCTTCTGAAGTGTCCATGACTGCTGATGGCTGCATCATTGCTAAAATGCACTTACCACCCACATGGGGCCGGCCTGGACATCTTCATTTCACAGACTAATGGAACCACTGAGGCTAAGTCCTCACCCAAGACCTCACAGGCAGCAAAGGGAGTCACTGGGAGTAAAGCACTTGTGATGCCCAGAGAGCATGCCCCTCCCTTCTGCGCTACAGACCCCCATCATTGCTTATGCTCTAAAATGTTGGATGTAGGTCTTGACCACTTCTGTCCTACAGAGGAACTATGCCTGGCACAAGGTGGCCCTCAGGAGTAACCATTACAGAGTGATGGTGATCCTCATAATGTCTCAGGAAACAGGAGAGGGCCAATGAAATAGCTCAATGGATTAAAGAGCCTGCTTAGGCAGATGCAGGGGCAAGGAGTTGGATCCAGGGGCCTGTTGTGCTGGGCCTGCCCCTGGGGTGAGCTGAGATGATGATTGAGACTGGGCACGGTAGAGGACAACTGTGATCCCAGCACTTGGGCGACTGTAAACAGGAGGATCACTACAAGTCCAATCTACGCAGTGAGACCCTGTAGACACTGTCCTAAATACTAAAAAAAAAAAAAAAAAAAGGAAACAGGAGACCTAGAAGACCAGAGAGGTTAGGTGGCTTGCTCTGTGTCACCCAGCAAGCAAGTTTTAGGAACAAGTGTGGATACTCAGTCTTTCCATAATGTCCGCCCAAGAGAGAAACATTCAGTTCAGAGGCCACCTGCTCACATGGAAGGAAGACTTGGGAGATTCACTTTCATAAAAGCTTATCACTTGTGCATGCTGAAATATTTTGGGTGAGACCTTAAGTTGTCTAAAAATTGCTTTTTAAATGATGCAAAAAAAGAGAGCAAAATAGTAACAATTTTTGGATCTAGGTGAAAGGTATGTTGCCCCATTATTCTTCCGATGTCTATATCAGCTAAATTTTTCAAAATAAAAACCATGAGGCAAATGCATCACACGCCTCTCCTCCTTTCTTTGGAGACCCCTCCCGAGCATGGCAGCCAATCTAAGTACTGGCACATACTCAGACACTGAGACTCGGAGAGTAGGGCCTCTGTTTGCGACCACAGCAGCCTGCGCCCCTCGCTGTCCACACAGAAGGCTTTCCCACTGTCGCTGTCTTCCTGGCTGGCTCGGTACTGTCCATCCTGGTCACACTGCAGGCCTGCTTCATTCCTCTGACAGTCAGTGACACCTGGAAAGAAAGACAGATGCACTAAGCAGTGACAGCCTTTGGGGTCCTCCCCGTCCAGTTCCCAGGCTCCAAGTCATTCCCAGGTGACCACAGTGAGCCCAGACACCAGCTTTACCTTCACCAAAGCACAATACCTGGGCTCCTAGTGGGGACGTACAATCCCCTTTCCCAATTCTGCCCTAGACTGTAAGGGCCGACCCACACGCTGCCTCCAGTGTCTGACCGCACTGCGCTCCGCACTCACGCTGCTCAGACACAGGTGCCGGCACCAGCTGGTCACTGCTGCCGTGCTCTCCTCCCTGCCTGCCACCAGTGCGGCGGCTGCTCACAGAGCTCCACTTCCTGGTATGGCTGAAATGTAATCCCCAGGGCAGGGCAAGGTACTGAGAGGGTAGCAATTTAATCTGACTACGGGGTGTGATGGGGGAGTTAGGTGATTCAGATCAGGGAAGTTCAGGCTGGGGAGATAGCTCAGTCACATAAGTGCTTGACTGGCAAGTGTGAGGTCCTGAGTTCAATCCCCAGTACCAAAAAAAAAAAAAAAAAAAAAAAAAAAAATAATTTAGAGAAGGAAGGTCATTAGGATAGAGCCATCATGGCTGAATCCTGGTGGCTCTATAAATAGGAGGAGAGATCACAAAAGAGACACAAACAGTGTGCTTCTTGGTTGTTTTTGAGTGGAGTCTGTGGTACCTATATCTTGGGGTTTAGCTAGCAGAGTCATTATGAGAGGCGGTCCCAAGGCCTCAACACTTCAGAACTATGAGCCAAAGTGAATCCTCTTTATAAATTTATTCTGCCTTGAGTATTTCATTAAAATAATAAAAACTAGATGAACACATCACAATCCTCATTTACTTGGACTAAGGCTGAGGAAGCACTCGTTGAAATCTAATCCTCAGTAAAATTCTATTGCAAGGTACGGATTGGGGCGGTGATGAGCTCAGGAGCATGCAGCCCTTGAGAATGGGATTAGTGCTATTGTAAAAGAGGCTCAAGGGAACAAATTTACCCTCTCTACCACTTGAGATGGCACACAGTGAGATAGCACCATCTAGGACAATTGCATCAAGCACAGAACATAACCAGAACCTTGGTTTGGGATTTCCAGCCTCCAGAACCATAAGGAGCAAGGTTCTACTGCTAGTAAGCCTCTCAGTCTATGGTATTTTGTTCTAGGAGCCTGAATAGACCGAAAAAACTAGGACTGGAGCTAGATCTATCTGACTGCTATTCTTCCTAAGATCTGCATCTCTCCATCATAACAGGGAGCAAGGTTGTCACTTGCATTTTTCTATGAATGAAAGATTGACAAACACTGCTATTCCTTTGATTGAAGATCTAGGGATTAGAAGTGGTCTTGCACACAGTGACTTGTGCCTGATATACAATACAAGCTCCATCCAAAATATAAGAAGTAAAGCCATGCTGTCATGTTGAGCTGTAGGGCACTCAGGTCAACAATTTCTGACACTGCCAGTCAAGCAGAAGACCCAATACTATTATGGACTACCGGACTCTTTTAGAATATTTTGCTGAGTTAACACACCTATAATATTCAAATGACAGAACTAAACAAAAAAGGGGATACAGATGAATGTTTATCTTGAATCTGTGTATTCAAAATGGTTAGGATAGATATAGAGTTACATTCTCTTAATGAATAGAGGGATTTGTTCTAATGGTGTTTATAAATAGGATATCATGTCTTCATCTTGTACAGCAATTAACCACTAGGAAGAATGTATTCAATGTGTGAATTATTGAAACTGTCCTACCAATTTGATTTGAAACTGTCTCATTGCTATTTGTTTCTCAATAAAATTATGAAAAAAAATTGATAAACAGTGGCAAACCTGTGGATGAACGTCCTGTCCTTGTTCTCAGGATATTTCCTATTCCTAGAAGTCTTTTCTACCTCTGATCCCCTAGCTTACACCTCCACCCATTCCAGTTCTTTAAGCCCTAGCAAAGCTGCTGTAACACCATCAAACACACTTCCAATGGACCATGAATTATATCACAGTGAAATTATGTACTCGCTTCGCTCCCCTACTAGTATCTACATCCCTTGAGGACACATATTTTAATTATTGTCAATATCTAGGATATACTTGGTAGAAAGCAGAAGTCAATACATTTTTGAATAACGATATTAAAAAGAATGTTCCATGACTTGTTTCTCCAAAGATGAGAAGTAGGAGAAAGGTATTCTTTTGTGGCACATGCTAAGTTGGTCATATGTGTGCTTCCATATCTTAAGGCTAGTAAGTATAGTATTAATCACTGATTAATAACAACTTTTGGGAGGGCTACAAAAGCTGCTTTTTACGTAGAATAGTTTGCATGTGACACATACTAAATATGAATTAATGCATCAATCACCCAACAGTTATTTGGTTGTCAACAGAACCTCCAATATGGTCCAATGCATCTGGTACATTGGGAGATAGAGAAGAAAAGTGCAAGTAAGAATACAAACCTCAGCCTTATGAAGGAATTGGGATTCTCAAAGTTATCCTAACACCCAAAAAGGGAAAGATTACAAGTTCTGTGTATCATTTCAAACTCAGCAGCGTCCCTCCATTTCTCTTCAGCAGGATTCCAACAAACACCAATCAATGCAAAAGGACGAATATGTAGCATGCTGTTTCCCACCATCTCTGTCACATCCCTTTATCAAGAAGGATCTGTATGCGATGCTAGTCCCCTCTGAAGAAAGTGCTTTGGTGGCACACTAATAGCACGTAAGGCCATTCCTGACCAAAGGCTCGGTCGTGAGAGGTACAAGGAAGGGCACTGCCCACATCAACAGGCATTATGCCTCTGGGCAGTTTCTACTCTCCAGGAGAGGCAGGCTCCCACTTACTCCTCTATTCCTCCCACTTTTACTTTCTTGGAATTAATTTCCCATAAATACTGCTCTTTTGACAAAGACAAAGTCAAAGATAGTGAATTGATCTCTTTTAAATGCTTGCTTTAAAAGTTCTAGAAATTAATCACATCATAAGTAATGATGGTTTGCCTCACACTGATGCAATTTCAGACTAACATGAGAAGATATACCACAAGGGAAGTTTTGTGTCTTGGCTAGGATAACCTTAAGTATATCAGGCAATGGGTAAGTGAGCCAAATGAAGTCATATGACAGGGAGAAAGGCCACATGTACCTATGGTCTTGGCAAAAGCAGGGCCAAAGGGAACATGTGCAACATGGCAATAATTAGTTTCCATGTGGGCAGAAACTGCTTTCCACTTCTTAATCTGATAAGGTTGACTCAGAAAAATCAGAAGTTTCAGAATCAGACAAAACCAAGATTAAACAACAATTAGCTGCATAACTCTGGCTAGGTTCCTTCACTTTTCTGAGCCTTAGACTTTGTACCCACAAAAGTTAGACTAAAATTATTTACATGGAATAGATGTTGGGAGGAGTGAATGAGACAGCATAGGTAACATGCCTGGCCTGCAGCCTGGCAAGGGACAGCTGTTCAGAGACAGCAGTCTCTTTGTTTACTACACTGTAAGCAAAACTGTCCTCATTCTTACCCAAGAGACAGTTGGCAATATCCAGAGTCACGTCTGGCTGTCAGAAATTAGTGGAAGAGGCACTGCTGGTATCTGGTGAGCTAGGTATAGTACTAAACATCCCACCACGGCTAGAAGAGTCTCACACACACACACACACACACACACACACACACACCCCATCCCCAGGCACCCTCCACCTGCACAGGTTCCTCCTTTATAGCAGCCCTGTAGGACTTACAGTGAGTCTGACTGAAGGCTCCAATGGCAATGGTTGTTCTGCCCACAGGACACGGGACACAGGCCACACTGCCTGCCTGTTCTTGGTAGAAACCAACAGGACAGGGAACACACTGTTCATCCAAAGCATAGCTTCCTTCAGGACACATAACTAGGAAGAGCACAGAGAGATGCTATGTTAAAGAGCAAGGCACCTGATTTCATCTACAATTCTGAAACATGTCTTTGGTATGTAATTATATTTTTAAAGCTTAGATGCATGGATGAATGGACAGATAAGTGGATAGAAAAGGCAAAGACAGAAAAAGGAGGAGGGAGGTAAGGAGTGGACCATTATGCACTACTGTAGAAAAATACCCATAGGGAACGAGTTCTATTATAAGAATGTGAAGTGAATATAAGTGAAAGTTAATGTCATCCAGAACAGAAAATGGAAAAACCTAGGCAGTCTCCCTGTGCTCCTCATTAATGAGCCAATCTACTGGGAAGACTGCCAGCAGGTAATTCCAAAGGAATCTGCATGGCTGGCTGCAAGGAGGAGGGGGACAGCACTGACAGGACAGGGCAACAAGCAAGGCCCCACTCTGCAGCACTATCAGTTCCCTGCTGGGGGCTGTTACGTCCCAGGAGTCACAGGGATGGTCATGCTGTGGCCTCAAGCCAGTGTTCTCCAAAGGGGGCATCTGTATTCATTCCCTGAGATGACACACAGAAACCCTGCTTCACTTCCAGAGAACAAAGCTCTGCCTTGTAGCTTCACAGCTGTGTTCCAGATGTGTTTTAGAAGGAGAAGAGCCTGAAAGGATGGGTAGAAGGGGCAGAGGCCGTAATTCCACCAGGACCCCCTTGCTGAGAAGGGAGGTGTGCAGCCCAGAAGACGGAGCAGAGAATCGGGACGCGGGCAGAGTAGACTTTAAGTCTCTGAACAGGGGAGTGCAGTGCAAAGGTGTCCTGAGAACTGGTTATGTGTGAGACGGGCTCACATTGACTCTTTCATGTCTTCCAAAACAGTCTCGTGAAGTAGGTATTATTATCCCTTTTCTCAGATTATGTCCAGTGAGGGTAAGTAATGCTGCCTGGATTTTATACTGAGAAAGTGCTGCAGCTAGTGTCAAGTCCAGGCCCACTTACCTTCACAGGGCACCCTCTAACAGTGCACAGACCTACCGTGCTTTGTCATCCATACATGGGACTAGCAATCCCCAGTTCTCTGGCCAGAGATGCTAGTAAGACCTCACACATCGCAGAAACCAACTGAGAGATACTGGCTACTGTAACTGGCCATGGAGAAAACCCAGGGCCATCAGCATTGCCCCTGTCCATTTCATTCTGGACACTTCTGTGTGTTTTGAGGAAGGAAGTGGAACTGAGCCATGTGCTTGACAGTCTTTGTGAATTGGCACAGGGCTATGGTTGCTGAGACACACTTGCGGGTTCACTGTGAACCAAGGCACACACGCCACAGCCTGTGGGCCACATGTGAGCTGCATTCTGCTTTGGTAAGCTGAAGTTTGTTAGAACCCGGTGACATACCCATGAATCTCCGCAATGTCTGAAGAGTCATGAAGACAAACTGGATGGGCCACAGAGCCCCCAAAGTGTTACAGAAACAGGTTTCGAGTGCTGTTCTAGAGAAGGTACATCCTGGCTGACACCTGCCCTCGACTCCCGCCCCAAGTGCCACTGGGTGTCTCCTGGGGTGCTCACTGTCCCCCTCACCACCTGAGGCCCTTGCTGGCCCAGGACACAGTGTCCCTCTCCAGCAAAACCAGACTATTCCTCACCAATTTTCAAGCTGATAGGAATGAATAATAAGGATGAATCTAGTTCTCTGGAAGGAAGCTTGGTATGAGATTCCCAGCCAGCCCTTTATTTCAGATGTGCATGAATGCATGCTGCACACACACACACACACACACACACACACATCCCACAGCTTCACGCTCCTCGGCAATGGAGTGAAGGGTGCTTCCTAGTCTGAGAGCACAGTGGCAGATGTCCCTGAGACCCTCCCTCTCAGTGACTCTGCTTCATCCACCTGAGCAGGCAGCACCATCTACTCCACTTTCCACTTCTGGAACTTGCTGTTTCTGTAGCCCTGGAAAGGTAGGAAGACAGGCCATGGGTTGTCCCAAAGGAACTGGGGCTCCCACTGGCTGGTGAGGTGACTCATGGATCTCCCCTGCAGTTGCCTATTCAGGGCACTCGATGAACAATCGCATTTAATCTGGGCCTCAGCCTTTTGGTCTCAAAAGGAAACAACCAGTTACCAAGGGCCCTTCAGAGAGTTAAATATTTGCCAAGTCACATTTCCAACTATAAAATCCCCTGTAAATATTAGTGGGAAGTGTTTGCGGTTCTGTTCTTTGTTGTCCCGTGTTTCTGTTCTGCTTAGATTTCGTTGCATCTCAAATTCTGAGTGGAGTTCAACATTTGGTCTGGATTTTAGAAAAAGAAAAGGCATGCATCTGTTGCATTGCAACCAATATAAAAAACAGGGATAAATAACCAAGAAGATCCTTCTTCAGCTCAGTGAAAATGCCTTTCTCTCACTCTGCATGAGAGGATGGCTCCCTCTCCTGACGTTCTCAAAGCTTTGGCTGTAGACAGAGCAACAGCCCTAAAGATGTCTACGTGTCGATTCCCAGAACCTGGGACTGTGCCAGGCTATGTGGCAAAGGAGAACTGGGACTGTGGATCAACCTTACACTGGGGGAGTGGCCTGCATTACCCAGCTGTGTGTAATTAAAGGGCTCCTAAAGCAGGAGATGTGATTAGAGAGCAGGGCAGAGAGCTGAAGTACTGCTGCCTTGGACAACAGAAGGAAGAAGCTGCCGCTGAAGAATGTGGCCACCTCCTAGGAACTAGACAAAACAGGAGATCAACTCTCCCAGGGATTCTAAAAGGAAGGCAGCCCTGCACTAATTTTGATTTTACCTCATAACATCCATGTTAGAATTCCACCCACAGAACTGAAAGATGATTAAATTTGTGCTAGTTTGTTGTGGTAGTGACAGGAACCTCCTCTTACTAAGGAGTTCACAGTTGCCTTACAACGAAGATGACCTGCCAAGACATGGCAAAGAGCAAGCGCATCTCAATAAACCCCTCCCCACCACCACCACCACTGTCCCTGAGTTGTAAAGTTATGCACTGAAGCACAGCCACATGAAATTTTGGTGGATAACATTGCGATAGCGAGGTCAAAAAATGTCTGCCAGGATTCAGGTAGACATTTGCCTTCTTCGCACAGAGGTTCCTGGCTGGTTAGGGATGATCAGGAAGGGTAACTCCAGACACCGGCTTCTTCCTTCCCTGCCTTCCTATGGATGATGTCTGCACATTCATACAAAGCAGATGGATGAAAACTTTTTTTTACTAATAAATACAAGATCTTCCGCTCTGTGTCCAGAGCAGCCACCCTCCAGAGCTCAGTGGCCTGCCCCAAAGCCACTTGAGACTGTATAATAGTGTTCCAGGGACAAGGGCTGCTTACCACATCCCAGAGGGTCCTGGCTGGCATTGCTGGTAGCTAAGACTCGGTAGAATGCTTCCGTGCAGCTAAACCGCGTCTGGGGAGTGGTGCCAAAGCTGTCCCCTTGGAGGAAGCGGATAGAGGTATCTGCCAAGAACGTCTTAGAATCCAGATGAAGCTGGAGCATGCCACTTTGGACCAGATCTGTGAAGCGCCCAACGAGGCCCACTAAAGCCCTTTCTGTAAGACAAGGATCAGGTAGAAATCACCTCACTGGGGCTGGGGGTGTAGCTCAGCAACACAGTGCCTCCCTGGCAAGTGTGAGGTCCTGAGTTTGATTCTCAATACCAAACAAGGGGAAATCACCTGACTCTTTTCTAGTCAAAAGAAGACAACTGCATCATCTGGTGTTTCATTTTACAGTGGGAAAAACAAGCCCCGAGAAGGGGTCTGGCTGACTCAGCCAGGGATTAGAAGCACATGTAGCACTCCCACCCAGGTCTCTGGCTCCTGGCATTCCCATGGCATCGATGGGGCCCATCTCAGGATAGGATCACATCTTGTAACTGACCCAGATACTCAGCCAGTTCAACCTTTAGCAAGCGGCTATCTCTGAGCCATGATTTACACATCTACAGAGTGTCTACTGGCACCCAGGCACCCCTCTCTTGCAGTTGCTGAGGTTCCCCAGAGAGCAGTCATGGAGAAGCAAGACCTTCCAGGAGAGTGGCCTTCTCGCTGTGTTTAGCTAGCCATAGAGCAGACCTCCAGCTGTGGACCTACAGCTTCCTAAGAAGAGAGGAGATGGCACTGTGTGGAGCTGAGCGGGTGCTCCTCAGAAGACACTCACACTACAGTGGGCGGCTGCAAGTCAGCCTGTGGCTTGAAGCCAGTCATCACCACCTGCACGCCAAATCCCAGCTCGTGGATTTCAAATGTGCTCACATTACCCAGGTTGTCTGGAGGATGGTGGATGGGGGCTGCTAATTCTCACTGCCGTTGGAACATACTTTTCCCACAAAATATTACTGCCATGAGATGGGGGAGGACAGGAGAGAGGCAGGGTCTGCCTCCTGCTTTGTACCTTGGCCATGTCTTTCAGGCTCCCCTCACAGAGCAGAAGATAAGCTCCACTAGGTGTGACCTGGGGGTTTGGCCACTGGGTGACAGAAGAGGGGGCCTTGCTTCCAGGATCTAGTTGGAAATGGGTGGATTATGCCCTACTCTACAAAAAAAACTTGAGCTCAGCAGACACATGCTCAGAGGAGCTATCGCAACCCCCTCCCCCTGCTCCTTCTTAGGTCTTTGAAATCTCACTTTCCTGTTTTAAATAGCAACTACAGTCTGAGATGTTTATCACTGGAGGTGGAAGGACATAAATTATGAACTAGTACAGACCCCCCTACTCTATCTGCTCCTTCAAGCTGTGTGTATCCACTGTGTGGAGACATAGTCAGAATTACAAGGTCTTCGCAAAGTCCACTGATCCTCCCCACTTTAGCTCTCGAACAGAACTTTATTGCCTATATTCTTTATATTTAGCTTTCCCCTAGATCCACCCATAGCCTTCCCTTCATCGTCACAGGTAGGCAGCCTGGCTCCACCAGCTATATTTACAGGTGAGGCTGAGAGAGGCCAGGTGGCATCCTCATGCAGCAGCGCAGAAAAGCCTACCAATGTCATGCAGATCAGGAAGGAAGGCGGCCGGGATGTCCTTAAGCTGGGATGTCCATGTGACATTCACTCCCAGGCGCTCTGCCGTCAGACACCCCACCTGTACTGAGGAGTTGTCACAGACAGGGTAGGAAACCACAGTTCCAGCTGTCCTCACCTGCATGAGAGTGATGCAGTCAGTTCAGAGATGGAGTAGGAAATGCCAGGAGCCAGAACAGGTCCTGCTACTTTTGTAGTTCTCCCATCACCCTGCTACAAGGATGATGCACCAGGAAGCCTTACTTGAAAAAGTACGTTCATTGACACTAAACAAGCTGCCCTGGTCACACAGCAAACAGAGGCAACAGAGGCATAAGTGGGGGAAAAGCCAACCTCTGTACCCAAAGACTGCTCATTCCCTACAAAGGTGAAAGGAGGTGGGTCTTCATACAGGTGTCATATAAGGAGAACCTGGCATGTGCCAGACACTTAGCACTCCTATAAGGCAATTTGGCTCAGTGTCTGAATATGCTTTCTAGTCAGGCCCTGTGTGATGTTCTTTAAGCAAAATAGCTAGCTCAATCTCCAGAACAAATCTGTGAAGCTAGATCATTGTTCAGTGCATACTTGGAGATTTACCTCAGAGGAGCTAAGGAACTTCCTCAGACCCCACAGCCAGAAAGTGGTGGAAGTGGGAGGCAAACAGGCTCACCCTAGAGCCTTCCAGCCTCTCCACAGAGTGTGAAGAGCCAAGCTTTGGATGTGTGTAGTCCCTCACTTAGCCTGGCTCTCCATAGTACATGTTTCTGTCCCCTACCCTCATAGTAACACAAGGCCTGGCTCAGTTTAGCAAGCTTGGGGAAAGTCCAGGTCATGCTGACAGGAGGACTATGTCAAGGCTAGAACCCAATCTGCCTGCTGGAAGTTTATGCATCATGCCCTTCCTCCAGTGAACGCCTGCCCTGCTTTAGAAGCTGCCCACCTCCTGATCACACCTTGACACCTGGTCCTGGAGGTCCCCACCACTGGGCCACTGACAAGGCTGCCTCCAGGCCCCATATCTTTATTTCCAGCTCTGTTTTTAAATCTCAGGTCCCCAGGACTCTGAAACATTTTTCTCTTTGCTACATGAGTTTCAATGTTCCTCTTGCAGTAAACAACAAGAATCTTCAGTCCCTGGATCCCAAACTTCAGTCATCCTTTGCTTCTCTCTCCCTAGACCACCTTATCTGACACCCAATCCCAAGAGCTCTTGCTTTTCATATTCCACATAGCAATCATCGCCCAATCCATCTCCTCTCACCTTCGATGACTGTAAGAGTCTCTGCTCCTGATTTGTCCCCTAAAGGCTACTCTGCACACAGCAGACATTAGAACCCACACTAATGTAGCACACCACTCTGCTGACCTCAGTGGCATCCCATCACATACAGAACAGTCCCACTTTCCTAACCATGGCCAATGGAGCCCTGAAAGATGTGCATGTCCCTGACCTGTTTCTTCTCTCCAGTTCTACCCACCCAGGACCCTTGGTATTATGGATCACACTGATTGCATTCCCGTCCCAGCAGCTCTGGCCTTCCTACTTTGTCTGTAAGGGTCCTGTCCTCACTGTGCTAAGTTTCCTCCAATGACTCATTTCAGAAGGGCCTTCCCTAGTCACTCTCTGCCTTCACTCTCATGCCTGCTCTGCTTTTTCTCCCTTCTTGGTTCCCTTCACTGATACGCCGCACTAATCCAGTGCCACACCTCCAAGATTGGGTCCTCGTGAACAAAGACTTGATGTCACCCACTGAGCACCTTGCAGACGTTCTCTTGGCCCAACCACTCGCCCAGACTCTGAACCTCCTCCTGGACCTCAGCCTTTGCCTGCCAAGAACTGACACCAGTATGGTTCCACCAGCTCAGGGATATACCTGGAAGATGTCACTGTTCCTCTCCTAGAGCTCCTGCCTAGGAAACTCAAGTGTGCTGCGGGGACATGCCTTTCCTTCCATCCAACACTTGAAGCCAGGCCTGGCTGTCTGGCCTCTGTATGGTGGGAGCCCCAGTTCAATGAACACTGGCTGGCAAACCCAGGCAAGCTTCACATGGACGAACTCCCTCCTCTGCTCTTTGTAAGTTCTCTCTTTCCTGACTCTACTGAGCTCCCATCTACCCCTCTGTGCCTCCTTAGTCTCTAAGATTCTAGCCATTTCTGGACAAATGATATTCCCCAAGGAATATCCCAGGTATATTCCTTAGCTCCTCTGAGGTAAATCTCCAAGTATGCACTGAACAATGATCTAGCTACACAGATTTGTTCTGGAGAATGAGTGCAGTTCAAGCTGCACTCCTTTTTTGAGTAGTATACGAGGAATTAAAATTTGCCCTTGCTAGTTAGCTGATGTGTAGATCAGATTATCTGTGATACTCCTCAGACCTAAAAACCATCATTACCCTCTAACAGGCATTCAGACATTTAAATTATATTAATTAATTAATGAGTGGGTGGGTGACTGAATTTGGTATAGGGAAGGAGTCTAGATAGACCTGGACTTACTGAAGCATGAGAAACTTTAGCTCCTAAAGGTTTTAGACCATGCCCTGACAAGGAGAGGGAGAGAGCTCCTACCACCTGGCCTTTGTTTCCTTCATGTAAAAAGTGACAACAATGAGAGGAGTCCTTGAATAATCCACAGCAAGCGATGTGTGATGTCTACCACATGGTAAGTACCCAGGATGCATCTCCACGTGGAAAGCCCACCCACAATGGGTGTGCATGGGTCTTTCCTTGTCCACAACACATTTCACTTCAGCTAAACATCTTTCCAGGTCTGGACCTCGATTGCTCATTGATAAAACACAAGGATGCATTGGTTCAAAACCTAGATTCCTTTGAGCCCCAGGTTCTCTGGAAACATCCTGTGCTCAACACAAGCCTTCCTGTGGAAACACACAGAACACACCTGCATGTGGCAGAGGCCATGGGCCACCAGCGCATCCGATATGAAGACCTGGAAGGCCTGCAGCAATCCTGTGTAGTCAGCACTGCACATCTGGCCTGGCGGGAGCTGGAGCTGAAAGTTTGCTCCAGTCTGGACAGTCTGCCATGGTTGGGGCCCTGCAAATGAGACTGGGGGTCAGCGGCCAGAGAGGACAGAGCCATGAGGTTCTTCTTCTGTCATTTTTCCTCTCCAGAAATAGTCCTTCCTCTTTTAGCTTATAACACACAAGCACTGCCATTCTCACTGTTGTCCTCAGAGTCTGGTGCCTTTCTGACATGACTGGTTGCCTTAGAATTATTTAGCACCCACAGCTAGTGTAGGCCTGCCTCAGCCTCAACATCAGGGAAATTCTAGACACTCGTCCTGGAAAATCTTCCACATCATTTTGCATGAAAACAAGGCCACTCTATGACGCTGAGGTTTAAAAGTAGACCTTCCTGAAGGTTGTTCAGTGTGCAAACTGCACAGCCACACAGCAGCTCTGCAGCCAACTTTAGGGAACCCAAGTCACACATTTCTTCCCACAGGCCCCCTGCTCTAGAGTCAGCGCTGATGAGCTTGGTCTTCATTCCAGGTTACGTTACTCTGTTATGATCCAAGGAACTGGCCACTTACCTACTCGAGCCACATATTAAACTGTTCTCAATGGAGACCCTCCACAGCCCAGGTTGTTTTGCAACAAATGCTGTCATTGGCACTCTGGCAAAACCCAGAGCCTGGTGGCACTCAGGCCCAGCATGTGGGGCTCTCTCCCTGAGGCCCTCACATTGCATCAGGTGGGCCGAGTGAAGTCCCTGCTGTCTGCCCCACCTGCTCTGCTGTGGACAACGAGCCAGGCTTTGCACACGCAGGTGCTCTCAGAGCAGTGTTGTCCAAGCCACGCACATGTTTTCCCACATGTGTTGAATGGGTTCAAGCAACAGTCAGAAAGAGCTCTGTCTAAATAGGTCATGGACACTCCTGGAGCCATGCCCTGAGCCTCTGCCCCACCAGGTATTTGTCCTGCAAGGTCAGAGACCTTGGAGAAAGGATGCTGGGGCAGAACACCCTCCAAAGCGGGACACACAGCCTCAAGTGTACCATTACTATGGCTGCTGGTAGGGCTGCTGGAGCACCTCCCTGCTGAATATCTGCCTTAATCCAAGATGTCCCAGGAGAGCTGGGATGACAGACATTCTCCCAAGAAACAGACAGTCCAGAGAAGCCACAAACAAAGGCTCCCTCCAGAGGCCTCTGAAACACATCTGCACCTTTTAGAAGAAAGCACTCCATAGTCCACTTCCACTCTTGGTGCACATGGCCTACCACAAACGGTGTCAACGTTTGGGTGGGCAACGAAGTGGCAAATATCCATCCTCCCATCCCTAAGGGGAGCAGGACATGTCTCCCCAAGGCCACTCACACTGGCAGGCCAGGGGCTGAGGAAGCTGCGACACCCAGCGTTTGCTCTCCAGGCTACACTCCAGCACCCCAGACGGGAACACACTCTGGTAACCCTGGCGACAAAACAGCTGGCACTGCTGGACGGTGACTGCTCCAGGACCTGAGGCTCTCTCACACAGGATCACTCCACCAGGCATATCTGACACATTCATGTAGGGGAGCGGACACTGAGGACCTAAAGGAAGAGAAGAGAGGGTGTGGGTACCCGCCACACAGCAAGGATGAGCTCCTGTGCACCCTTCCTTCCCCCTACCCAGTCGGCTGGACCTCCCCTTCTCTACCTCCAACTGTGCCAGGCTCTCAGGCCCCAGCCAGGGCTGAGCCTCTTCACTCTGCCCTCCTCCTAGAAGACCTTGCATCTCTGGTTGTAACAGAATCCTGCACATGGTGGCCCTCGCCGCACTGGCCTGGCTCAGGTGCTCTCTCACCTTTGTGCCACTCTCAGTCCAGGGAGGAATCACCCGTCAGCCTCCTCCGCTTCAGAGCCCACACCCAGGCCCGGCTGCAGCCTGGATGCCAGCACCTGCTCCCACCAGCCCTTGTGGAAAGCTGGATTTGGCTCCAATTGCCCCATAGGTCTGCTCTCCCTGCCCCCCACTCCTGTCCATTCTACCTCCCCTAACCGCTTCTGGTTCCAGGAGCATTTGCTTCCCTCATCCCATGCGCTTCCCTCCAGCTGCTCAGGGCCTGGAAGGTTTTCTTTTTGTCCTTTGAAGATCAGCACAAGACCCCAGCTTTCCAGCAGTCTCTGTGCCTCTCCCAGGCACACTTAGGCCTCCTTTCTCTTAATCCCAAGACCCAGTGTGGGCCTATTTACTTGGCTACTTGGACTCCAGTCATCTGTGGGCTGGACTCCCCACAGAATTGAGCCCAGGGGAAAAAGAGCTTTTCTCCTGTCATCCAGCATGGGCATAGTGAGTAGGCATTAAATAAAGGGATAAATTAGCCGAAGAGAAAACACACAATATCATCTCTGATTAGAGGTTTGGTTAATTTCTACTGTAAGACATACCACTGCTGCCAGAATATGTCTAGTTTAAAATCTATAATCGAGTGTGTGGGAGAGCTCCAGCTAACCTGTGCCGGCGGGACCTACCGGTCCCAGCCCAGGCGCAGCATGGGTGAGACCCTCTTGCACCCCCCTGGGATACCTCACCACTCCACAGCACCTCCCCTACCCCACACGCCAAGAAGGAATTTCTGCCACGTTCCGGGAACCTCCAGATCCAGCCTTAGCCCAGGCCCAGTGAGTGAGTGGGAGAGCTGTCTCTCCCCCCTACACCACCTTGTCCGCTCCAGACTCAGCTTAGGCCTGGCATACAGGCCTGGGTGAAACCCTGCAGCTGCAATCCCTGAAGAGAGTATAGGGGACAGAACCAATCAGCTAGATCAGGAGAAAAACATCTTGCCAGAGGGGCACAACAGGTTCACCCCCAAGGGCAGCAACAGGAAAGAGCTGAGCACAGCAGCCAGACCCAAGCCAGGCACAGATGGATAAATCCAAACTTTGTAGATCTGAACCTGAACTTCAGTACGTGCTAAGATTATAACTGCAACAAAGATTTTCAACAAAGGTCAGAAGATAGTGCTACACAAAATGATGAGAAGGAACAAAATGCAACCTCAGAACCCAAGCCCACCCATAACAAGTGCAGAGGACACTAACACAGAACAAATTGGGA